ATTTTCAGCCATACAAAGAATAGTCAATAGGCATTTATGATAAGAAGAAAATAAATGTTTTTGTCAAGAAGAATTTTAGCTTTTGTAGGTTATGAATTTTTCGTGGTGTATCTATTAAAACTTTCAGTTTTATGAACAAGATTTTGAACGAAGTGCAGTACAATCAGCTGGTTTGGAAATTATTAAAAATAATAACAAAATCTTGCAAAAAAAATCACGAAATCAGATACCAGCTTAATATGACAAATCTTAGTAACTATAGTACATGTACAATCAAATATTTATCTCAGATTGTCTATTTCATCGTGGGCGTTTCCAGAATTTTGGTTAATGGTGGAAGAAAGATACCACGGCTGAGAAAACAGAGACAAGAAGAACAGCGATGTTGAGAACAACTCCTGGAAAAAGAAAACATATACATTACGGAGTTTTCATTGCCAGGTTATCCAAATTATGTTATATCGGTACTTTGAACTAAAATTATGATTTAATGGCTTCTTTCTTGTACTATTTGACCAAAACTTTACGGCGAACTTTCACTTGAACAATATATGAAAGAAAAGAAATAATGATGCTGACAAAGGGGTTGGTTTTTGTTAGATTTTCATAAATCATGAATTTTAGGTGTTTTGGTATATCTCTTTAGAAATCTACATACCTTTAGCGCCGGAAGGCAAGCCTGCTGCGCAATACGCCATGGAAGCTTGTGAACAACCTGCGTAACTCTCCATTTCGTCACTTCCGTCGGAACAATCCTGGTTACAGTCGCACTTCTTGGATTCCTCGATACATTTGACGTTGGAGTTCAGACAGGTGAAGTACCCAGAAATACAAGACTAAAACAAAAATGTGAATTAGAAATTGAAAGATGACTTTCATTCAAATATTTTAGTTGGGAAGATAAGAAGAAGAAGGGGGTCTTTCTTGTATTAACCAAAAAGTTTTCACATTATCTGTTCCCCAAACGAAGTTGGGGAACATATTGTTTTTACTCTGTTTCTTATTATTATGTTCCCCAAACGAAGTTGGGGAACATATTGTTTTTACTCTGTTGCTTATTATTATTATTATTTTTCTTCTCGGGAAAATTTTGTCCGCGAATGATCTTGTAAACTACACATCCGATTTAGGTGAATTGTTTTAGGGTCAGTAGACATGTTATGTAGATTTGCGGAACAAAGGTCATTTTGCGCGCACGTGCTTGCAAGAGCGTGCACGTGCAACACGTGAAATGACCGATTTAATTGATATAGGCTTAACTTTTTACATTTTTGATGAAATGCTTTAAAACTCAATATGTAAGGATATATTAGTAGCATAGACAATATCACATGATCAAAATAGCAAGATCTCACGCGCATGCACGTGCGCTTCGCTCTGATTGGCTGAAACTTAAGTCTCAATATCTTTCTTGCTTTTTGACAAAATCCTTTGAAATTTTGAACATAGCCATGCATTAGGATGTCCTACAACATGATATATAGCAATTATCATAAAAACACGTGCATGCACGTGCGCTGCAATCTGATTGGCTGAAACTTTAAATAGCTCTAACTCCCTTGGTTTACAACCAAACGAGGTGGGATTTGGAACAGAGATAGATATAATGGACGTCTACAAGAAGGTATGGTCACATGCACATGCATGCACGTGCGTGTACATGCGCTGCAATCTGATTGGCTGAAACTTTAAACAGCTATAACTCCCTTTGTTTACAACCAAACGGGGTGGGATTTAGAATATAGATAGATGTAATGGACTTCTAGAAGAAGGTATGGTCAACAAGCACATGCATGCACGTGCGTGTACATGCGCTGCAATCTGATTGGCTTAAACTTTAAACAGCTATAACTCCCTTGGTTTACAACCAAACGGGGTGGGATTTAGAACATAGATAGATGTAATGGACTTCTACAAGAAGGTATGGTCACCATGCTCATGTATGCATGTGCGTGCACGTGAAAGGAGTAAAATAAAAAATACACTTGAATGAGCGTATTTTTTCATACTTTTGGATTAAATACTTTAATATTTAGTATATCAAAATATATAGATTGTGTAGACAAGATGATATGGTCATTACGCACATGCATTCACATGCGCAAGCGTGCAATGCTTAAATTTGAATGAACTTGGTACACTTCTGGGTAAACGTTGTTAAAGTCTTAAATGCATAGAGTCTGTCCTATTTAATAAAGCCTCCAGGGAGTATGGCACCAAAAGGGAGTTGGGGAGCGTTTGGGGAACATCTGTAACGGTCCCCGTTACAATTAGCACTAGTTATTATGTTCCCCAAACGGAGTTTGGGAACATATTGTTTTTACTCTGTTTCTTATTATTATTATTATTTTTTTTTTTTTTTTTTCCTATTTCGTCTCCCGTACTTTTTTTGTCCGCGAGTGTTCTCAGAAACTGTTCACCCAACTGAGCTAAAACCTTTTTAGGGTTAATAGGTGTGTAGTGTAGGTGTGCGGAACGAAGGTCATTTTGCGCGCATACGCATGCACGTGCGTGCGCGTGAAATGAGTGAATTGACTGATATATTTAATATGGATGTAACTTCTATATTTTTTGATGAAATGTTTTGAAACTCATTATATAAGGATATATAAGATGTATAGATATGATTACATGGTCAAATTTGCATGAACTCACGCGCATGCACGTGCGCTTTGCTCTGATTGGCTGAAACAAAATCCTCAATATCTTTTTTGTTTTTCGATGAAATGCTTTGAAATTTATAACATAGTCATACATTAGGATTCCCTACAATATGATATATAAAAATTTTCGTGAAATCACGTGCATGCACGTGCGCTGCAATCTGATTGGCTGAAACTTTAAATGACTATAACTCCCTTGGTTTCCAACCAAACATGATGGGATTTAGAACATAGATAGACATAAAGGACTCCTACAATATGGTATGGTCAGCATTTACATGCATGCACGTGCGTGCACGTGCACTTTGCTCTGATTGGCTGAAACAAAAATCTCAATATCTTTTCTGTTTTCTGACAAAATGCTTTGAAATTTAAAACATAGGCATACTTTAAGATGTCCTACAATATGATATATAATAATTGTCATGAAAACACGCGCATGTACGTGCGCTGCAATCTGATCGGCTTAAACTTTAAAATGGCTATAAATCCCTTGTTTCAACCAAACAAGATGGGATTAAGAACATAGACAGGCATAATGGACTCCTACAAGAAGGTATGGTCATCATGCACGTGCGTGCACGTGCAATGAGTAAAATAGTGTAGACAAGATGATATAGTCATTACGCTCATGCAATGTTGTTTAAGTCTTAAATGCATAGATTCTGCCTATTTTAATGAAACTTACAGGAATATGGCACTAAAAGGGAGTTGGGGAGCGTTTGGGGAACATCTGTAACGGTTCCCGTTACAATTAGCACTAGTTATTATTCTTATTCTTATTATTTTTCTTCCTGGGAAAATTTTGTCCGCGAGTGATCTTGTAAACTACACATCCGACTTAGGTGAAACCTTTTTAGGGTAAGTAGGCATGATATGTAGATTTGCGATGAATCAAGGTCATTTTGCGCGCACGTGCTTGCAAGAGCGCGCACGTGCAAAACTTAAAATGACCAATATATAATGGATATAACCGTAACTTCTCTATTTTGTGACGAAATGTTTTGAAACTTATAATGTAAGGATATATTAGTAGTATGCACAAGATGACATGGTCAAAATAGCAAGATCGCACGCGCATGCACGTGTGCTTCGCTCTGATTGGCTGAAACTAAAGTCTCAATATCTTTTTTGTTTTTTGATAAAATCATTTGAAATTTTGAACTTAGTCATACATTAGGGAGATCTACAGCCTGTAATATAAGATTTTTCATGAAACCATGTGCATGCACATGTGCTTGCAAGAGCTCGCACGTGCAACACGAGAAATGTCCAATATAATTGATACAGACGTAACTATTAAAATTATTGATGAAATGCATTGAAACTCATTTTATAAGTATATATTAGTAGTATGCACAAGATGACATGGTCAAAATAGCAAGATCGCACGCGCATGCACGTGTGCTTCGCTCTGATTGGCTGAAACTAAAGTCTCAATATCTTTTTTGTTTCTTGTCATAATCCTTTGAATTTTTTTAACATAAACCTTCATTATGAAGTTCTACAGCATGATATATAAGAATTTTCATGAAAGCATGCGCATGACCGCGTCCTGAAATCTGATTGGCTGACACTTTAAATGGCTATATCTACTTTGTTTTTTGACGAAATGCTTTGAAATTTAAAACATTGTCATGCATTAGGACATCCTACAATATGATATAGAAAAAAAATCATTAAATCACGCGCATGGACGTGTGCTGCAATCTGATTGGCTTAAACTTGAAATGGCTATAACTCCCTTGTTTTTCAACCAAACAGGATGGGATTTAGAATATAGATAGATGTAAGGGACTCCTACAAGAAGGTATGGTCATTATGCACGTGCACGGACGTGCGTGCATTTGGAACGAGTGAAATGAAAAATACACTTGAAAGTGATTTTTCATACTTTTGGACTGAATGCTTTAATAAATTGTATATTAAAATATGTAGATAGTGTAGGCAAGATGATATGATCATAACGGACATGCATTCACATGCGCACGGGTGCAATGCTAAAATTTGAAAATAATTGGTATCCTTCTGAGAAAACGTTGTTCAAGTCAAAATGCACAGAGTTTGTCTTATTTAATGAAGCTTACAGGGAATATGGCACCAAAAAGGAGTTGGGGAGCGTTTGGGGAACATCTGTAACGGTCCCCGTTACAATTAGCACTAGTTAATGTTATTTTCAATGTGATATAATCTTCATTAATACCATGTACCTACAAACAAGGTGTACATCCCTCTAACATCCCCAAACTGGCAATAAGCTGGCTTGACAATATTCGGAAGTGGCACGTATATACCCTGATTCATTTATTATTTTAAAGTATATCATTTTACTATCTTTCATACCTGAACGTAATTGTTGGCGCTTGCAGTTGGGCAAACTGACGGGTTGCAGCCTTGCTTGAATTCGCTGTTGTCTCCAGCGCAATCGGCTCCACCGAACTGTGGGGATGGGTTGGTGCAGGTGCGTGCACGTGACTGCGAGCCGCTGCCGCATGTCACGGTGCACGTTCCCCAGCTCTCCCATGAGGTCCATGCTCCATCAACTGTTCAAGGTGAAAATGTGCCTAGTATAGCAGTTTGCGCTTGCAGAGATAAAAATTGAAAACACTTGAAAATATTTCTAAATAAATTATTTGTTTATACCTGGACAGTTTATGGTGGTAATTGAGCAGGACTGAACTTCGGATGGTTGACCGACGCACTGTTTTCCATCATACGCTGGGGCAGGATCGGTGCAAGTTCTTTCTCGGGATTTAGAACCATTGTTGTTAGCACCAGTTGTAGAAAAGCAGGTCACTGAGCATGCGCTCCAAGGAGCCCAGTCTGCCCACATACCGTCAACTGTAATGAATAGCATGCATTGTTAAATAGATATTTCCACTAGATTTTGTACAGATTAATCCATGACAAGATTGAATACATGAGTTTTTTGTTCTCTCACCTGGTGGCGGGGTTGCGCAGTCCTCGTCTTGTCTTGAATCGCCATCATCATCTACAAAACATTGGAAGTTTTTATTTAATCAAAGATGATCTTTTAAGTGTTGGGTTCAAACGCCGGTAATTCCGTAAAAACGTTAAATAAATAGAAATTTACCCTTCTCTCTATAGAAACATAAAAAATATTAAAACTTAGAATGCGTATTACCTTTGTTGCTATCCCAACAGGCCTCCTCGTCTATCAATCCATCACAATCATTGTCAATACCATCGCCAATCTGAGAGGCTGTCGGGGAACATGGCTATGTAAAAAGAAATTATGTAGTCAAAGAGATTTCAATATTTTCTACTTCATGGTAATAACTAAATCCATAAATTTATTTATTTATTGACTTTTGTTTGATAAAGAATGTTGGTTTAAAAAAGCATTAAGTTAAAAATATATAAATATATATGCATATATCAAATTCAACTGATAAGTTTGTAAGGTTCCCTACTTCATTGATTGGTGCAAGTCGAGTTCCAGTTGTGAAGGCGTAAGTTTCGTACTTGGCTTTTCCATACAGATAACCTCCGAACACTTTGATTGGAGAGTCGTGACGAACAGTGTGCGTGCCTTCCGAGACCGCGATATAGCCGGCAGCGTAGTCGACTCCATTATGTGTCACTGTGTTGTATGTAGTGGAGAAGGGTGTTCCATCAACCTTAAGACCATCCTTGTCAGCATCTTTGATGACAAACATGAAAAAACTGTCGTAAGTTGCAGGAGGAAGAGAGTATTTAGGAGTAGTGAAAGTGTAGTCAGCGGCATACTGTTCAATAGGTGGAAGAACCATCATGGCAGGATCGGAAGGTTCTGTGCTCAACTGCTGACTGAGAACAAACTGGACCACCATGATGGCTTTGTCTGCCTTAATGGAGCAGTAGGCCCCAGATGCGATATCCTTCTCTACAAAGTCACCGGCGTTGGTCAGGGTAAAGGTCTCGGTGTGTCCCCCAGAGATGGTCACTGTTGTACTAGCTTCACTGGCAATGAATCGGAATTTGTCGCCTACAGTTCTCTCTGGAATTGGAACGGAGATGTAATTCTTACCCCATCTGCCAACTGGTACCATCATTTCGCACAAATGATCGGAGGAGCCTCCACTCCCAATTTTTGTCTTTTTATTTCCGCTAATGATACCCACGTTCTTGTCGGAAGTGATGTAAGCTCCGGTCAAATCTCCTTTAGATATCAACTGCCAGGTGTCAAAACGATCAACTGTTCCGGTCAGAGTGTCCCCGGCGGCGTACGTCTGGCCGTTCCAAGATACGGACTGCTGCATGCTGGCAGGCAATCTGATTGTTACTGTTGTGCCATCTTCCACACCTACAATCATCATCTCGCACTGCTGAGTGGGCGGGTAAAATGTCACGGCATAGTATTCCTTTCCCAAAACATCGATGGGCACGCCAAGGTAGGCATCGTTGGAATACTTCTCTTTGTTTACGGCGTAAATTACGACGTCATCGTCGGCCTTGACATGTATAGCGTTGGGTTTTTTCTGACAGCCAACTGGTCGGATTGCTGCTGGAAAAAATAGCTGCTTTACCTCCCCTGCCTTAACGCTGAACTGTTCGTTAATGGAAGAATCGTACCGAGGGGCTGTTACGTTTACATTAACCGTGACAGTACGCATTGTGGTGACGAACACCTCCACAGGAATTGAAGTCCCTTGGTTTTCCATAAAACCAATGATGAACTCGTTTCCTCTATTGTTAGGAGCACCTCCTAAAATTAATTAATCCATTAAATCAAAAATCTCACCTAGAGTAGATACGTAATGTACAGTCATATTACTATCAGCTTCGCGCCCAATAATCCCTTCGCAGAGTGTATACGATGCGGATCTAGAAAGTCTGGTTATAGTTAGATTATAGAAATTAAAAGTGAGCATTAATATCACATATTAATTTTTTTTTTATTTCTTGAAGTACAGTTTAAATATCAATGGAATAAAATATATTAATTTAAGCTTTAGGCTTCATATTTTATTGATTTATTTGTACAATTAGTTATCTTCTCCTGCACTGTATTCTATTTAGACTTTTTAATAAATTTCAAACCGAACAACAAAGAATATTAATTTGTCAAAGAAAATAGCTATTTTTCAAGGTTAAGAATCCAATAAGAAATTTTAAAATGATGCAAAAAAAACTCAAATGAAAAAAATGAATGTTGAAGAGTTTGCGTGCAAATAAATGTCTGTAATCATTTCTGAAATACAAGTCTCTTCAATTTCCAGATAAACAATTTACTCTTATAGTTAGACATTAATTAATACTTTTTATATCGCTTTTGATATCAGGATTTTAATTCAAATTTTATGATAAACATTGACGAAAATATTTGTGATCAGGAAAATAATAAAAGATAATATATTTTTTTTAATAGAAATAAAATTCTAAATTTCTCTTTGAAATTTATAAGCATTTTTTTAAAAGATTTATACTCACCATGAATGGCCTGAACAAGAACACATATGACCAAAACTGCAATCCATCGTCCTACAAGAAATCAAATGCTCTTATCATATAAATTTGTCTTTGTAAAGAAAAAAAATATTGTGAACGACGAAAAAGGATATTTTGTTCGAAATTTCAAATAAATAAATAAATTAATTAATTGATTAAATTGACATGATATGCTCACCCCCTGCCATAGTTATGAACGGGGTTTGGAATATCACAAAAAGTCCCTCCGCTCTTTCCGGCCTTACTTTTTCGACTGAGGTGAAGTGTATTCCTAACAACTTTATTTAATATTACATGGATTAAAGAACTTTGTTTTTCCAGCAGATATACTAAATACCAGAATATATTATTCTGTAAATTCGCCAGAACTTTGGCTTTTCTCTACCCTTTTTTGTATGATTAAAGACTTATAGATACCTTTTGTGCGTGTGCTTTCTTTTCAATTTTCTTAATGACGAAGTTTGTTTTTTCTGGAGATTATATTCATTTTAAATTACACATCTTTTCGAAAATTATATTCATTGTGTAGACAGTAAGAAGAAAAAATATTGGCATACAGATGTTTAATATTGTCTTTCGAAATCTAAGCTTAATTCTTGAACAATTACTGTTCAAGTTCACTAGCACGGTGAATTTTCAATCATCGACATTTTAAATATTAAAGGAACGACATAATTTTCTTTCGATGACCTAAGTACTATGTCTGTTTTTTAGTACTTTCAGTTCATCGAAATTAGAACAATTTCATAAAAATTAGGTTGAACCTTTCTATAACATGTTTGTGAGAAATAACATTATTCTCTTTTAAAATCTTTTTATGCACTTTCAAGAAAATTTAAAGATTCACAGAAAAATGAAAAATTGACAGTTCAGAGTCAATAATTAAAAAAAAAATAATAATTTTTGTGAAACAAACATCATGAAGTAACGACCGGTAGATAATGGGTTTTTTTTATTTTAGGATACTTTCATTTTTTCTAAGTTTGGGTTATTTTTAGAAACAGGGTAAAGATCTTACTTACATTTTCTTTACTTTGGGGACATTCTCTCTCTCTCTCTCTCTCTCTCTCTCTCTCTCTCTCATACCGGTAGTTACTTTTTATACCCCCGCTTGAAAAGTGGGAGGGTAAATATAGTGATCGGGATGTACGTCTAACTGTTCGTCCGTATGTTACTCTTTGAGGTATACCAATCTCGCAACTCCTCTTACACGACTGAATTCATTTTAACCTAACTTTTCACAGATTCTTTATTACATAGTACCTTTGTGTCCTTCTATTTTAATTTTTGATCGGAGACATATTTTGGTTTCTCATTAGTCACAGCAAAACATGGACACTGCCATTCTTTCTATAATATTGAAGGGTACCCATCTCTTATCCGCAACTCCTCCTTTTTTCCACTGAATAAAATGTAATGATGCTTTCACATATTCTATTTTCCATAATGCATTATGCATCTTTAATTGTGATCATGTGATAATTGTGATAATTTTATTTTTGATCTGACACTTATTTTGGGTCTACCAGTCCAAAACATGAACCGTCCCAATCATATGGGAGGCGGAGAATAACATTTAGTGAGCTCAGTGCTCACAGTACCTCAAGTTTCGTACATGTACATGTACATGTGTATAGGTAATTACTTTATCTGGGTTTTTCTAATTTAACCAAAAAAAAAATCTTTTCCCGTTGTATTTCTCCTAATCCACGTACGACAATAATCATGTTGCAAATGCATGTATATAAATTACCATGTTGTAAGTTTTACATTTACTTCCCCTTTGTAAATTTACAACATGATACATGCATCACTATATTTGGTACCTTTCCTCAAATATAAACCTGATCACGTCTTGGAAGAAATTAACATTCAGTTTAAATAGACCAAGTTGACCTCTTTTAAAGGTTTAAACTGATTTTTTTAAAATTCAAAACCAACTTATGTAATACTGATGAAAGAATTCAAGGTTATACAAGTAAAATAATTATACAACTGTAACTGATTTCTCTATTTACGGACATAGCAACCGCTGACCTTTAACGTATATATGTATCTTTAACACGTATTATGGCTTTGTTTGTTTTTGTTTTCAAATTATTTGGGGTTTTTTTTCATTGACTTTCAGTTATGTGCTAGTGGATTTCAGAATTGAATACAATGAATATAGAATAGAAAACTTTGACACCTTAATGGATAATATTCATGACAAATTTAAGTTTTCAGCAAGATTTGAATGAAGCATCTGACAATCCGTGCTCCATTACTATCCTACTTCCACCACAATACATGAACTGTTCACACCCACTGCCATACGAAACTCTCAATACGTATTAAAAACGTTTTTGGAAGAAAGAAAAGTGCTATGAATTTATCGCAAATTCAACCTAGTTTACTCTCAAATATTTCTCACTTTATAACATTAAAAATCCTTAAGATGTGAGGCAACCCCTCGTAGCATCCCGACCCTCTGCGCATGCCTGCCTGCATGGCTTTTCAGATGGATTTAATCACAGTGGTGATTCGAAAAGGAAATGATTCTAACAAATATCATTCTGTTTTAAAAGTATATCATAGCAGATTGATATTGTACAGTGCATTAATTGTTAAAGTACTATTTAAAAAAATATTTTGCCAAGGCCATCTTTAAAAAAATGTTTGGTTGCCTTCTCCCGACCGACTGACTAAAAATGGCCCAACTCAAAACTTTTTTTTACATTCCAGGATACGATATTTTTTTCTTCTCATTCCTCTTATCCCGTCAACAAATATGCATGTTGAAATTTTCTGGAAAAAAAGATTTTCCCACCTTTTTAAACCGATCCAGTTGTTTTACCGCGTGTCGGGAGAGGGCACGCAAACATTATTTTAAAGATCGCCCAATATGATATACATTGTACAACAGTGAAATGAAAGATAAGTATTTTTTTTCCAACATACAAATAATTGCTGCATAAAGGGGATCCTGGCATATTGTTGTTCTTTTTTTAGGCTGTAGACGTAGGCGAAGATTCGTTTCTTTGAAAATCAACTTTTCGGGTGGCGTATATTTTAATTTTGAGTTAAAGAACTAGTTCGATATAAAAATAGCGAATGTTAATTTCGGGGGGGGGGGGGGGTAAAAATCTATGTCAAAATGGGGACGACTCTATTTTAACACTTATTTGTATTGCTCGAAAGAATTGACAATAGGTTTAACAAATATTTGTAGCCATACTAATTGGCAATTGTCCTAAAACTAGTGTTCTCTTTTCGTCTAGAGACCGTTATATTTAAGGAACGTCATTCCAAATAAGAAAACACAAAAGACAATTATTTGAATAAGATAAGAATTATAATTTTTTGGCCCTTTAACTTTTGGAGCGTCACCGGGTTAAGCCTTTAGCTTGTGGTTATCCTATTAAGGATTCATAATTCACATTTTTACCATATACCTGTCCAAAATAAAAAGTGTCTATCATGCCCCCGATTTACATGAAGGTTTATATTTTAACGATCAAAGGATTTCAACATTATGGTGCAATAATCTAAAGAAATAAGTTCTATGTAAGTGAGAATGCTAACTTAAAACGCAGTTGTTATGTTGATTATTTCTCCGGAAATTGAAATCACCAGCGTTGAAAATAAAAAAAAATATTTCATACATTCATTCTAATTTGATTCCTGTTTTATGGCAATTCATGTTTTTAAAATAGAATGGGAACAGATGTTAAAGATATTGTATCAATTTTTAGTATATGTATTTAAAATTTTAGTCCTCATTTAAAATTTTAGACCTTTGAATTTATTTTCTATCCGAAATAACCTGCTAAATCTCAAGGATTGATAACAAACATTTTTTCCAAAATTCAACTATATTATTTGCTTATGTAGGTGCTCTCTCTCTAAAGAAGTGGTATAGGTACAAAAATATTTAAAAGAAAGCTTTTTTTATATTCTTATGGTTCAGGGTTTTATTTTCATTCAAAACAAGACTAAAAAGATTTAGGTTATTGTTTTGTTTTTTTATTTTGTATTAAAGTTCTATCCGAAAGACAACTCTTTAATTTATAATTTAATTCAAGGATTGATAACAAATATTTTTTTCCAAAATTTCAAATATACCATTGTGTTTCAAGCTTATGTAGGGTGCTCTCTCTTTTAAAATTACATACATCAAGAAATTGATATGTTTATTTTAATCTAACCATAAATACCAATGTTTATTAACATGATATGAAATTAGAAGTGATTTATAGCTTTGCCAAACTTTGATTTGAATTGTAAAAGTAAGAAAGCTCATTATATATATTTTACTAATTGTGGAATTTCTTTTAAAAGCCTGGGTGTTTTTTTTTTTTTTCATTCAAAAGGAAAATGCATAAAAGATTTTACCCAAAAATATATTTGACCTGTTTTCTCTATATAATAATTCCAATGGTTTGATAATTATTTTATTTTGGTCAACAAAATAAATAATTTAAAAGTTAAATTCATTTTAGTGGACGAGAAGAGATGACCATAATGAACAGTGATCAATCTAGAAAAAAAAATTACGACGGTTGTCCCAGAAAAAAAAATGTTACATATAGATATGTTTTACTGAAATTTCTTTAACATAGATTATTTAAAGATGGTCTTTTTCATGCATGTCAAGTTTTAACCTTGTAATATTAGTGAAACAAAAAAAAATGAAAAAGTTCACGTTTTCTGGGACAACCCTAGCATAAAAATAGAAACTTGTGAAGAGAGCATAAAATACGGAAACTTTGAAAATACAGAGGAAGAATCAGGTGCCTAGGAGGAGTAAGCATTCCCCATTGTCTGCTCACACCCGCCGAGAGCCCTATGTATGGATCAGATAGACAGAACAATTTGTAGTCAAATTCAGTAATGAAACCAGAGACCTAACAAGACAACAAAACTACCATCCAATGATAGGCTTTATTTGTTAACAAGGTCATTATTAACGATAATAGAATTTACAAAATACCCGCTTTAAACGAGGTTGTAGAATTCCATGTTACATCGCTTTTTTGACACTAGCCTTGCTTGTTATCTAATTATCAGTTTAAAATTTGATCCCTGTTACATCACTGTCTTGTTTGACCGTAGCCTGCATCGGTTTAAAAATTGATTGTACCTAATAAGTTAAATAGGATGTGCCAATTTCTTCCAATAACTGACAGACGAGAATTCAACAAAAATGATTGCCCTCCATTTAAAAAAGAGCGGTGAATGCATTGACCTTGAATTCCATTTTTTTTTTAGAATATCTGAGGTAAATGATAACCAAGAGTGAAAGAAAGCTGCAAAAGTTTATTTTAAAAATTAACAAAATCAACGTAACATATCAAGGAGATACACAGTTCGAGATCTTGTGTCCTGTGTGCAAATTAAACTGTTACATTATGACATAAACATACGAAGTATTAGATAAAAAAACATTCTACTATTGCATAACGACATACATTGTAACGGTTTCATTATAAATTAAAACATTCCTAATTGTTACATTAAGACAAAGCAATCGCGTAACATTACATTGCGATATCCGAATCGTGTTTCATTATGACATCACAAGTCTAACTGTTATATTTTTATATAAAAATCCTGTCGCCTTATGGCATATATGTTTAGCACATGATAAAATATGTTCAAAGTATATCAAATACTCAAGAAATCAAATACCTCTTTTGATTGGTTGGCTAAAATTCAACAGTTTGATATCATTTCTGTGTAATAAATGATACTTGCTAAACAAATATGACACCGATTTCGAGTGGAATTTGATGATTTCATTAAGAATTCGTAAATCCATATCCCTTCCCCGGCCCGCCTTGTCAAGAAAATCCGAAAAAACAAGACGTGCTGAGCTCAAAATCAGACGTCATAAATGTATCACAATTTAGCCATTATAAAAAGTATTCAGGATTTTTAACAACAGTTTTTGCCTTTCCGTTGGAAATATTGTTTTCATGTTAACGCAGCACAAGTACAGCAGCGAGCGTCAGTAGTAGAACCCACCATGATATTTTCACATGATCTGTAATTAAATTCAAAAAGATACTGGCTTTAAAACCAATCTTCCATGGTTAAAGAATAATATGATTATTAAAATTAAATCTTTGATCGGCTACAACTAGATCGCTACACAAAGTGTAGCGACCTAGTTAGAGCAGATCAAAGATCTGATTTTAATTAGATTGATAAAAGAAACGATAACATTTTGTAATCAATTTTATCCGGTAAAAATCGCATCTTAACTCAGTTACATAAAAGAAGAAAAACCAGAATTACCCGTTCCACTTTGACAGCCCTGCATTTGTGAGATGGTACATGACGCATACGCTATTTCCTCATCGCTGCCGTCGTCGCAGTCGTTAGAACAGTCGCACTTAAAGGATTCGTCGATACAAGTGATGCCTCCACTCTTGCACGTGAACCAGCCCCGGGGACATTTCTATGAAAAAAAGCAAGTACAACTGAATATGTGCGCATTTCGTCATAGAACAGTGGTGACTACTTGAATTCGTCGTCTGAAACTGTTTATATATTTCTGTTATTATTTTATGAATTATTTCTTTACACTTACTTGCACATATTGACCCGATGAAGGCAAAGGACAAAGAATGGTATTGCAGTCGTCTAGCTGTGTAGAGTCCCCTGAGCAGTCGCTGCCACCGTGAGCGGGGGCGGGGTCGTCACACTTCCTCTCACGGTGTTGTTTCCCGCCACCACAGGTCTTAGAACACGGTGCCCAGGGTCCCCATACTCCCCATGTCCCGTCCACTGTGAAAATTCACAAATAATAAGTATAAACAATCCATTCTTTTTCACCTCTATTACTCAATCTTGTGTTTTTCAATTCCATGCTTTATTACATGTGTAACTTTCATTATGACTACCACAGGTTGAAGCTGTGCTTTTTCAATCAGTTGAATGGTCACTAAAAGGTCTGGTAATGTGACGTAATGACTGACTAATGCCATTCAGTCACCTTTCAGTAATCTCTCAGTCACCTTTCAGTAATCTCTCAGTCACCTTTCAGTAATCTTTCAGTCACCTTTCAGTAATCGCTCAGTCACCTTTCAGTAATCATTCAGTCACCGTTCAGTTAATTGAATGCCAGACTTTCACACTATGCACTTTCCTGGTATTAGTTTTGAGTTTCAAACTGAGCACTTCCCTGGTTTTAGCTTTATATTTACCTGCACATGGTTGTGTGCTACAAGTTTTGGATTCCGCATAACCTCCTGTGCAGTTTTTCCCGCCATTTTCTGGGACAGGTTGGGTACATGTTCTTGACCTCTCGGCAATTCCCGTTCCACAGGTTTTGGAACAGGATGTCCAACTTGACCAATCGGTGAACCCTCCGTCTACTGCAGGCTTTGTAGTGCCTTTAATAACAATACATTATAATGATATGATGACTAATAAATTAAAGAAATTTACACCTTATTTGACTTGTCAATTACTCTTTTATTAAATGATAAGAAAAATAATGCAAAGACAGATGCTTAACCGAAATACATGTTAATTAATAGTTTGATTACATCCTTGTTTTTCTCAAAATGAATTCAAAATATCCCTTGTTTTTTTTTTAAATTCTGTTTATGCATGTGTTGACCTTTTGTGATTTTGCTAAGAACATAATGTATCATGAATATTATTTTTGAGTAGAATTAACCATGGAAAAGTAACCTTAAAAATCACAATTGTAATATTTTATTACTTGTGCACATTGTTCCTGTGCATGGTTCTTTTTCTATGCCGTCTCCGGAACACTCTGTCGTAGCACAGTCACGTGTTCGCTGTCTGATATATACGTTGTTTTCTAGGACCACCTTCCAAGATGTCCAGAGCTGCCAGACGCCATAAACTGTAAGGAAAGTCAGACATATATTGCAAATCTGCCTGAGTACTCCAGCATTATTACAGATATACGTAAGTAATCAAAATCCGTACTAAGGTACTTAATTTAAGTTGAGGTCAAGTCGAAGTAAGTCAATTCAATGACAAAGACGTGACCGATTTCAAAAACACTTAAAAATATGGACAAAGCAATGTGTGTTCTATGTACATATCAGTGATAAATCTTGCTATCTTAGTAAGCTAAGTTTATCTTAAATCTACGTAAGTAATCTAAATGAAAAATAAATAGTCCATTCTCATTATTTCATTGTTAAACAATACAAATTCTGAAGAAATCTTTCAAGAAATCCACATTACAGTAAATGTCAAATCAAATATAAAGTAATGCAAACTAAAAATTTATCAAAGTCATAAGAATTAGGAAAATTTTGAATGTAAATGATATACTGTGTAGAACTCTAAAAAGTACTATATATAATAGCATAATAATTTTGTCCCCTTGCCAAGTATATGATACTAACCGTCATTACAGTAAGCGCCTTTACAACAGAAGGTGCACGATACGGCGTCACACCATGGAGTACATGCACCTTTAGCTTTACAGCCCTTGGACATGCGCTTTGTTGCTCGCTCAACCGTAGTTCCGCAGGTCTACAATATTAAAAAAGACATCTTAGATATGCATGTACAATAATTTGGACCATGTTTGATTGAAAATATATTCTCATTTGTAAATACTTGACCAGATATGATTATATGTCCTTTGATTTCATGAAAAAAAATGATTATTTAATATGGAAAATGGACAAAAGAGAGCTTACATCTTGATCTTGGGAACAGGTCTGGAAGCCTTGTTTATTGCATTCATCGTTTGAGTTGGCATTGTTGCAGGCTTGACATCTAAATTCTGTTAAAACAACACAAAACATAAGCCTCCAATAAGTAATATTTAACAAGTAACACCACAATGGTACTCTTTGTGCTTTACATGATGCTCATTGTTGAATATGCCATTTAAAAATTGTATGTTTGCTCTTTTCATCCGTCGACTGACTTGAATAATCCTTTCTCCAGGGAACGATTTTCTCATTCCGTTAGAAACTAGTTTTCTTAATCATCCTTAAATTTCATCATATTTTTAAAAATTAAGCATTGATGATGAATTTTTCAATCAACTGTACCTTACTTATCTAGCTATCCTTGTTTTTTTTAATATCGGATAGTGAGAGGGCAAGTACAGGTACTTATTTTTTCATTGATGGCTGATAATAGTATTTTCTTTGTGAATAAATCTCAAAGCTTGCATTAAGTATCAAATTTGTTATGTCAGTAAAAGTTATTGTAACTTACGTGAACAAATGGGTCCCTGGCATTTGACTGTCTCCTCGGTTTCTCCAGAACATTCTATAGATGTACAGGTGCGTTTTCGGGTCATCAGGCTTCCTTTGGGTCCAGTAACAGACCACGAACCCCACATTCCCCAGGATCCAAAGTCTGAGAAAGTAATTAAAGAAGTTGGTCACTTACATAATCAGGTCCTCATATCAACATTTCTTGCTAGCAGGATTTGAATTTTAGCCATATTGAAAAGAACTACGTACTTTCATTACACTGGGATCCGGAACAACAGAATGTACAGGTCTGACTTCCAGCTGTGCAGGAAGGCGTACAGGAGGACGGAGCTGCGCATCCCTTTGTTATCAGTCCAGATCCACGAACAACTTTGGTTTGGCATGTCTGAAAACACATGCATACATTTCATCGTGTTCACCTTTTTGCTCTCCGTCTATTTCAGCATTTACTTAACATTTGTTTAGATCCTGCATGAAGAGTTACATTTTAGGTAGCCACATTTTCTTTTTATGAACAACAATTTGAAATTATCTCTCACTTGCTCTACATTGTTCATTTAAAATATATTCGACAGAATCAAAACTTACTTGTTGATCAGCAGGGCACGTGACAAAGCTTCCGAAGTTACATTCTGCGTCGGATCTTGCGTTTGTACAACTTCTACACTGGAATTTTTGTACGCCTACAAAGACACAGCCATTTCAATCTTTATGATCGACGTGTGTTGATGTATATTTAATACATAAACGAAATTTCCTATATATAATAAAAGAAAAAAAAGACAGCCGACTTTGTGGACCTATCCATAGGTTACCACATATAAGTATCGTTCACAATGGGAGGAGTAAGGGTAAACATATATATTTGTGCATAAAATATACGTAAAACATAACTTTACATAAAATTTCATATTTTCCTTCATAGCATTAAATGGCTAAAGCAAATATGAGATATCCATTTTTGATATTGAGAGATCATTTTTTTTATTAAATAAAAGTATATTAATCGATATAAAGATGTAAAATCTAATGGTTATTGATGAATTAATTGAGCAAAGCCTTCTGGTATACCTGAGCATGCTGTACCAGTGCATGTTTGCTCCTCTGTACCGTCCCCTGAACACTCAATAGTGTTACAAGATCGAATTCTAGTTTTCTTTCCATTCTTTAGTGCCCAAGCACTCCAAGGTGCCCATTCACCATAAACTGTAAAGGTTTACAAATGTTATTTGCATCTTTATGTTTCTTGTAAATGCTTAATTATTACTTACCTTAACAATTTTTCATTTATTTCTTAAAAATGTCGCTTCTGGCGTCAACATTATTTTAAGAAATAAAAATGTTGGTTGAACTTATTGCATGACAACAATGTGTAGTCGCGTTGTCTAGAGCTTTAATGAAGACTGTGACCCAATTAATTAAAAATACAATATGTGAAAGTAAAAAAAAATTACGAGCATGTGATTTGAATTTTTAATGAAGTTATTAATGAGATTTTTTTTTTTTTACAAATACATAATTAATTTTTGAAAGTAAAAAATGGCGGACCTTCATTACAGTTGTCTCCTTGACAACAGAACGTGCAGACGGCTGAGTTGCCATGACAGAGGGTTCTACAAGAGGACGTCGGCGTACATTTCTTCGTCAAAGCTTTGGTACGACGATCAATCTTTGTCTCACAGGACTGAAAAATTCAAATGCAATATTGTATGAAAAAACAAGACTATGACTTGAATTCTTTCTATAATTCATCTCTCCTCAAAGGACATATTTTAGCTATTTGTGCTTAAAGTGCTTTCCTAAAATTCTCCTTTACGTCAATTACTGGAAGAATTTAACTGATCAATGCGCTTTAATACATGATGTTATTTTACACTGATAATGCCCTAAGGTAATAAATGGAAATTTAAAATACCCGGTACTATGTACTATAGATATCTTCTTTTTTCTATTTTTTTTTTATCATATTTCAATGTTAAATTTTCGAAAGATAACTTCAATTTCAAATACAGTTGTAAACGAAAACTAAAATAGACGTACCTGATATGCTGAACAAATTTCTTTGTTTTGTTTGTTACACTCAGCATTATTTTTCGCACCTGTACATTTCTGACATTCTGATGCTGGTGAAAAAAGCAAATTCCAGTTAATGACATCCAAACTTTGTAGCCCCATCCACACAGAAAACAGCCACATCAAAAAAGTGTCTATCTTGTCTATTTTATTTTTTTTTTATTCCTTTTTATTATTTTTTTTTTTTTTGGATAAAAATTTCAGTGATTTTTTTGTTTTGAAGGGGATTGGAGGGGGTGTCTTACATTGCACACAAGATGCAGTGTTGCAGTCCTGTTCCTCTGTAGATGGTCCTTCACAAGGCAGTTTTGTGGAGGAACACTTCCTGGTCCTGCTTCGTTTGCCACCACCACATCGCTTACTGCAGGCTGTCCAGACGCTCCAGAGACTGTATTTTCCATATGCTAAACGAAATGTGAACTGATACTTATGATGCCCCTTCACTACCATTATTTGAAAAACTTGGATGGCTGACTGTACTACTGTACAAAACACTTCACGGTATGGCACCTACTTATTTAAGAGACTCTTTTGAATTTATTTCTTCTAATAATTATGTTCTACGATCTGAAACAAACTATGACCTTCAACTTTCGAAACATCGAACAAATCAATTTAAAAATTCTTTTCATTATCCCGGTGTTCATTTATGGAACAAATTACCTTTGTATATACGTTTTTCAAAGAATTTACACACATTTCGGTTGAAACAATTATTATAACGAAATCATGTATTTTTATGTCATATATTATTTATGTATTATTGTAAAATGTTTTTAATATTATTATTGTGAACATTCACTTTTTAAATTAATTTTATTATTATTATTTATTTATTTATTTTCAAAATCATGGCTATAAGGAAGTAATATTCATTCACTTTTTAAATTAATTTAATTAATTTATTTATTTATTTTCAAAAAGAAAGAATATTTTTAGGAACAAAAATACAAGTTCCTAAAACATCATTATCTGATGATATTTACTTAGACTATCTATCCTTCTTTTAGATATTGCTGTTAAGGTATTTAAGAGCTGTACCCATACCTTCGTCCTTATTACACAGCGATCCCTTGCAGCAGGTAACACAATAACTATCTTTAGGATCACATTTTGGTTTGCAGTCCTTTTCCTTTCGACACCGTTTTGTTATTTCGGCCTTGTTCTTTTCTACACGAGTTTCGCAAGTCTGAAAGCAAAGGCATGCATACTTATATTTCTTTTTTGTTTTTTTATCTCTTAAAAATATAGACTTCTGTATAACAAAGGAAACATACATGATGTGTTATCTTTAGAAAATGCCCTAATTATTCTGACATTCTTTGAATCAACATTACTTTACTCAACTCAACCGCCTACATGTATGTTTTCTTGTGTTGTTTACGAGTATTGAACATTTAAGTAATAAACAGTCACATGTTTTCAAACTGATAGGGTAATTAATTTTGAATTCCATAGTAAAAGATAAGTAAATAAAGGTAAAAATACAATGATCTAGCGGATATATTTGCTTATACGCGTATATTTTGTGTAGGACTTGCGCAATAATAAAATCTTACATCTTCGTCCTTTTTGCACGTCTCTATTTTCGTACATTCGCTGTTTTTCTTTGCTTTGTTACAGACGTTGCATTGCTGTGTGTAGCCTTTTAGAAATAAAAGAATGCTTTCTTAAATATAATAATTATACTTATTATTACTATAGTATTTCATTCTAAAAATGTGTACATTTTCTTTGGAAAAGTACCTGGTATTTTCGACAAAATGAAACATATTTTTTACAAAAAGTTTAAATACTTTTATTGCCATACATTCAATTTGTTTCAAACAGACAAGACAGAACAAGCTATTGAAAAATACTTACTTAACCTTACATTTTCTGCTTTAAAGCTAGATACATGTAATCACAGAAAAGAATAAAATGCCCATAAGAACATTCCAAAACCCTACCAGAACACAAAGCCGGTGTGCAGGGTTTTGTCTCAACAGTGACACCAGAACATTCTGTCGTTGTACAGTCTCGTTTTCGCTCTAATACTTTGCCACCTTTGGTTTTCTTTTCTTTCCACGACGACCACTGTCCATATTTGCCAAATTCTATATAACAAACAATTTTGACAAACTTCATTCATAAAGAGGCAACAAATCGAATATTCGGTATTATTTGAAATGTATCTTTGGAAATCATGAACCATATGAATAACCAATAGCCAATCCAATATTTTTCTTACATCTTGAATGTTCTTTTATTACAACCAGTATATGACCTCGTACGTTTGATAATGATCTGATTTTAGACAAAAGATGTATATCGAAAGTAGATTATAAGTTGTACACCTAAATTACAACATTACAAATTACAACAAGTTCATAAACATCGAAAAAAAGGAATTATAAGTTGCACACTTGGGTTACAACCAGTTCATGAACATCGAAAACTGTTGACAACAGAGGTCGTTGATCATTATTACATGCCTTTATTACAGCCAGTAGATGAACAACAGAACGTGCATGCATTCTTGTTACAGCCTGGTTTGCAAACAGCCGTACATGCTTTCATTACATTCTTTGTCTTTCTGTCAACTCTTGTACCACAAATCTACAAGAGGAAGGATGGGTATTTTCATTTAGTAGTTGAAGAACGCATATGATCTACTAGTTTGAATTTTCACATTTGTTAAGGACATGGATTCTTCGGTCTTTTCATATCATGGACACGTCAAAAATCAAACTTTAAATAAGTACCGGGTATGCATTTTCAGTTTTAAAAAAAAATTGTATTGTCTTCTCACCTCTTTTCCCTTCGGGCATGCCTGAATTCCCTTCGCATTACATGCATCGCTTGATTTTTCGTGACTGCATATGTAACAGCCAGATTCTGTAAAACATACATTTTGTAAATGTTTTTGCTTGAAATAATTAATAAAAACCATCTAAATTTTTCTTTATTAACCCTTTTCTTCGTAAAATTTGGAGATTTAAAACTAAAGTACAACACCTACTCAACGAATTTGGAGGAATGGTTGCAGGCTGAATCACATTAGAACACCGTTGTGTGTTACATTTCTTGGAGTCTTCCTGGTCACCGGAACACGGCATGGAGGTAGTAGAGCACGCCCTCTTCCTCCTCTGAACTCCACCCCCGCACTGCTTATTGCAGGAGGTCCATGGTCCCCAAGTGCTCCATTTGGCATAACCTTTGTGTGCAGAAAAAAGATAAGGAATGCTTATTTTGATAACAGTAATATATGCTGGAAGATTTAATAAAAGTTTTGAAGATGTAAATCCACTGAAAAAAAAAACAAGATTAAATTTTCATCTTCTGACCAAATTGCCTTTTTATGTATTGAGTGATAATTAGTTATTCGTCTAAATCACAAAGCAAGTGAGTCATGTGCCATAATGTTCACTTGAGTCACAAGTAAGAATCCATGGTTAAAAAAAAATAACATTATTAAAGCTATATTGTAACCATTACAAATTATCTCAATTTACTTTGCTTAATAGGAATTTTTAAAAATCCAACTAAAGCTTTGATCCCCTATATTAACCCCAGAACTCTTTTGTAAAAAAAAAATAATAGATTTTTAAAAAGACAGAAATATAAATAATTTTATGTTAAACTTAAATCCGCTATTGCGGCTCCATCCTTGATCACACAAAAAATTTTTAGTACACTGTACAGTGTACAGGTATGTCTTTTCTCTATCTCTGAATTATATCTTGCCCTCTTGAAACATGATTCTAGTTGTGGTCCTTAATGTATTTTTAAAATTTACAAATTACTATTACAAAGTAAACAACATGTAGTAGAAAAGGTTTTAAAAACACCCAAATTCTTATCACCCAAGGATACACTGTGTTGTGTTTAACCGAAATCAGCCTGGTGCGAACTTTCATGTGCATCTATGTTGGTTATCATCAGATCACATGAATACTCCTAAAATACATGTTTTTGTTTTCTTTTGACACGTGATTTTGAAATCCTGTGAAGGAAAAGGTTCGTGCACTTGTTGTGACGTCACTACAGAGTTCAACCTTGACCTACCACTGTCCTTGTTGCACAATGACCCTGTACAACAAGTCACACAGGAATCGTCCTTGGGGTCACACTTTGAATTACAATCCTTTGTTTTCTTGCATTTCTTAGATATTTCAGTTTTGCTCCTATATACTTTGGTTTCGCATGACTGCAACATTTTATCAAAGAATTAATTAGTTAGATAATTAAATTTTGCTCGGTAAGAATATTAAAGCTTGAATTGGTTTCTTTAAGAAATTTATACATTTTTGAGAAAGATATATTTTGTTCAAGAATACCATGTAGGTAATTTTCTCGCTTTTTAAAAATTTTAATAAAGAAGTTTTTTCCTACCTCCTCATCCTTATTGCACTTTTCAACTTTTAGACATTCCACGTTACTTTTTGCCTTGTTGCACACATGACATCTATGGGCTGGGCCTAACAAAATTACATTGAATTTCATTTTTGTATGCTTTTTAACATATTAAACTATCATTTATTCATTTCATAATTAAATTCTTAAAAAGGATTGATTTTTTTAAAACTTTTACTTTCATGTATCCGTAACATATAAATACATATTTTCAATACCCCCTTACACTTGGATAAATGTTACACTTACTTGTACATAGTGTCGGTGAACAGGGCTTTGTTTCCTCTTTCTTCCCAGAACACATCTCACTTGAGCATTTCCGCCTCCGAACCAATACATCAACGTTCTTTATGGTTTCCTGTTTCCATGGTGACCATTGTCCATAAGTCCCATATTCTGTGTTAAGTATTTATGTGATATTTAAGTTCGAAATATTTCATGATAACATGAATTTATAAGAAGCCAATTCGTCAATGATTGATTATATTTAAATGTTAAAAATCAGAAAATATCAAAATATCAAGCCACGCAAAAAGGGAGGTCCCATGTCTTAGTAGGTACTAGCACGAAAAAGAATTAACCCTCACTACTCCATGGCCGTAAGTGCTGAGTATAGGACGAAATGTGTAGATCTCCACTGGCAAGTGGTGGTTTCTCCATATGAGTGAAAACTTCTCGAGAGGGACGTTATAAACAACATATAATCAATCAAGCCAGGCAAGAATCATGAAAAGCGTAGAACATATAATATAGAAACGAAAAGTGAAGAAAACGCATTCTGAACAAAACGAAACATGTACAGGGCAAATCAGAAGTTAGTATTATATATTATGATTAACATTGTTCTAATAAGACACGTACCACTGTTACAGCCAGGGGTATTGCAGCAGTAGGTACAGGCCCTGCCATCACAGACTGGTTTACATACATTTGTACAGGCCTTTATTATCTTTTTCGTCCTTTTGTCTATTCTTGTGAAGCATGTCTGTAATATATGGAAAACAAAATCAAATATCATGTACGAGAAAATGAATTCTGTTCAAGTTAGACCTTTTTCATTTTAAATAATGAAGATATCCTATCTAACAGTACGCAGATTTTAATCGATGAAACACTGCAGTAATTCGTTTTTTATCTGATAGTCCCGGATATTTATTACCAGTGATTTTTTTAGGCAAAAGGAAACAAAAATTTCTTGACCCCCAGAAATATCAATTTACATAAACGAAAGGGAGATTTACGAGACGTTTTATTAAAGATTAATTTATTTCTATCTCTCTGATCGGCTGAGATTAACATTACAGAAAAAAACTATGTTTTAAATGATTTATTTGTACCCGACTTCCACTAAAGTGCACATACTAGTAATATTCAGGTACATAGATGATTTTGGGACGGGGGTGGTGCTTGCAGAACACTGTTCATTTTCTACTATTAATTTTGCATTAAAATGTCCATTGAAAGGCTATTTAATTTCCCTAACGTACACCTAAACTAAAATGTGGAGTTAGAGTCTTCTCTTTCGGGGAAGGGAGGGGGGCTCAAAAATTGTCATTTTTTATGATAATGTTCCTTTACTTTAAATCGATCTCACAAACATGCCTGATATTAATTTATTTTAAAGTTGCACCTGATATACATGTAGATTTACAAATTCCAATTCTACACTGTTGGTTATGTTTCATTTCACTACCCAGTTCACCCCATGACGTTTGGCTGGGTTATTGATCACCATTTAAACGCAAAAATGATAATATGGATGTTTAAATGAGAGCTTCATTTATTCATTTTAACATACTACTTATTATGAAACTTATTTTACTTATATGTAACTTACATTTTGTCCAGAGTGACATTTCCTCTTTCCTCCTTTTTTATTACACTCCTCATTAGAATTTGCATTACTGCATGTGAAACATTCAGATCCTGAAATAAAGTAAGCAATTCCTTTTTTAGAAAATACTTTTTGATAAATAGTTAAATCAGTAAAAGTTTTTTTTTCCTGAGAATTTTTTGCAGATAGCCTATACCTTGGGCTATAAATACAAAGATGCATTCAGAAACATTGATAGGTTTCCGAATGCCATTTTACTTGTGTCGTCTGTTTTTAACGTTAAATTAAATTATCTTGCAATAAAATTCAAGAAGTTAATTTTATGAAAAAATAGCATAGATAATTACAGTATCACCAGAACATGGACGGTTGCCGGTATTGGAACATTCTCTGCGTCTGCTGCGCTTGCCTCCTCTGCTTCTGCTGCGCTTGCCTCCTCCACATTGTTTACTACATGAAGACCATTGTCCCCAAGTTTTGAACTCGGCATATCCTAATAAAAATAGTATATATATATTTGTATCTATATTTTTTATCTTTTGAACATTGTATACTTTCCACAATTTGTGCTGTAGACACAAACTATTTTTCAAAACTTCCCCCATTTTAGTTATATTTACCTTGACCTTTGTTACACAGATCACCGGTGCAACACATGGTACATTCCTTCTCATGTGCAACACACTTAGGTTTGCAGTCTTTGGTCTTTCTACATGTCATCTTAATTTCGGCTTTATCTCGTTTTACTTTTGTTTCACAGGACTGCAAAAGTAATATTTCAACAGCTTATTAATAAGGCCAAAAAAATAGTTAATAGTTTCTTAGGTTCAAAAAATTCAAAATTCAATGCGACAGGCAGTCTTTTTTAAGCAGGTTTTACACCTTTTTCAAGCCATTTATTCAATAAAATAATATCTGCTACATGTAAATCTTAATTTTTGTTCTCTGAAATTAGGTATAATGTGTATTCAACTTTAAATTATGTTATTCGAAATTTTTATTTAAATATTAATTAATAAAATATTGTAAATTTAGAACAAAAATATTGTTTTTCTAATAAAAACGTCTATCTTATCATTTATGAAAAGGAGAATAACTCAATTTTCTTTTTCAAAAAATAGAAAATTGAGTTTTTTCCCTTTTGAAGATGTCAATAACATTGATCAATGCAGCCGTTTCTGAATTGATGCGGCGGTGCCTGAGAAACTATTGATTAATTTTTTTGGCCTAAAATACATCGGCTCATCTACTAACTTTCTTCTATACTAAATATTTTATCACACTTATGTTTGCAAAACTTGGTTTTTAACACATGTTTTTCGAATGTCACTCTTATCTCTGTGTAATTATTGTTTCACAACTCAGCAAGATCAAAGCAACAAAATATCATGACTAAATATTACTTTTTTAATTTAAAATTTCAGTAGGGCAAGACCTCTTCCACTTCAAGCATGTTATTCTTAGAACTGGTAATAAAATATTCAACAGAAATAAAATCGAAAAAAGCTTTCTGTTGAATTTTGAAATAAATCATTTGAGCAACTTGAATACATCTTTCCACTTCCTAAGTAATTTTCTTGTTTTACCTCCTCATCCTGCTTGCACGTTTCTATCTTTGTACAGTCACTATTTTTCTTTCCATATGAGCATGTGTAACATCTCTGTACTGAAAAGAACAAAAGATGATAGTCAAGTTAATGTACATTTTCTTAATATTGATTGCTATTTTTATTATAGTAAAATATAAATCAAATTATTTTCGCTTCATGTCAGTTTACATAAAACTAAATTAAAATTGCAGGAAGAATACCATTTTAAAGGCAGTTATAGAAATTCTTTAAATGCACACTTAATTTTGTTTGCATGTTTAAATCTTAATTTGATACATGAAGTAGGAAAAATTCTACCATACATCATCCCTTAAACAAAATATTCATGATTTTCATTTTCGATATTTTTTTTTCAATACTAAAGACAGAATTATTTGAAATTAATCCTCTATGTAAAAGTTTATTGATAAATATTTTGAAAACTAACCTTTTGGTGCACAGGCTTGCTTGTTGCAATCTTGCTCCTCTTTGGTATCACCAGAACATGGAAGATTGCCGGTATTGGAACATTCTCTGCTTCTGCTGCGCTTGCCTCCTCCACATTGTTTACTACATGAAGACCATTGTCCCCAAGTTTTGAACTCGGCATATCCTAATATACAAAATCAAACGTCTTTTAACACATTTTTCTTCAAGATTTGTCACAATTTGTCTTTCGTTAACACACAGTTTAAAAACCTTTGAGATATTCTACGTTAAAATTGTATCTACCTTGATCTTTGTTACACAGATCTCCTTTGCAACACATGGTGCATTCCTTGTCTTTTGCATCGCATTTGGGCTTGCAATCCTTGGCCTTTTCGCACTTCTTACGAATTTCAGCCTTATCTCTGTGTATCTTCGTTTCACAAGTCTACAAAATCAAGCAATTCAAACCCTATTACAAAAACTTGCTCGTAAATGAACTTCTTCCATTTTTTAGCGGCACTGAATGTTCTTTTTATTCGGAATTTTAAAAGGATTCGACCTCAATCAATTACATGAGTGATTTCTTAAAACAATATGAACAACATCACCAAAATCCAAAGCCTAACATTTGAATGAATCTTGAAATAAATAATTGGTTACAACACGAATACATGTATGTCCATCTTAAGGACATCTCTCTTTTGTCAAAGTGATTTTTCTCTTACATCCTCGTCCTGCTTGCAAGTTTCTATCTTTGTACAGTCACTATTTTTCTTTCCATATGAGCATGTGTAACATCTCATTAAAGCTGCAAAATACAACAGAACCTCATCAATTTTCATTTCACACTAATAAAACTGCACAAAGGGTACAATTGTAATTCTTATTCCCCTTAAAGAACACATTTCATACTCCTGCTAAATAATAACTGGCAGAAACTGCAGTCTTTTAGGATGCGTAACACCACCACCTTCCCGTCCCAAAAGGAAATATTCAAAGAACTTGGTGTGCATTTAAACCACTGATGTTTTAATACGAAGCCAGACATTACATTCATACCTGGTTGAGAATTACAAGTAGTTGATTTCCATTCACATCGTTTAACTTTGTCATCCCAGACAGTAGATCCTGGGCATTTGAAATTATACAGTCTGTGGTTAGAACATTTGATGAAACCGTTACATGTGCTACAGGATTGGTAGTCTCCATTCTTCACACCTTTACAATCCTTGACACAAACTAAAATAAGGAGTTTCAGAAACATGAGCACTTTAGTAATAAGTTTGATTTCTGACTTACCTAAAATTTTATTTAGTCAGTCCAAATTGGGTCCTCTTGGTAAGGATATAAAAACAGTCACATATTTATGGAACCCTCTCTTTGTATGTTATTGTCACAATACCCATTTTAGCAAAAATATCAGATCAAAATCAATTCTTTGCCAAAGTCTTTTTATAGAACTAAAAGAAACAGAAAGTAAATTTTATGAACAATACCGTTTGTTTGACATGCATTCTTGTTGCAATCTTGCTCCTCTTTGGTATCACCAGAACATGGACGGTTGCCGGTATTGGAACATTCTCTGCTTCTGCTGCGCTTGCCTCCTCCACATTGTTTACTACATGAAGACCATTGTCCCCAAGTTTTGAACTCGGCATATCCTAATAGAAATATTACATATTTTTATCTATACTTTTTATCTTTTGAACATTGTATACTTTCCACAATATCTGCTGTAGACACAAACTATTTTTCAAAACTTCCCCTTTTAAGTTTTATTTACCTTGACCTTTGTTACACAGATCACCGGTGCAACACATGGTACATTCATTGTCATTTCCAACACACTTAGGTTTGCAGTCTTTGGTCTTTCTACATGTCATCTTAATTTCGGCTTTATCTCGTTTTACTTTTGTTTCACAGGACTGCAAAAGTAATATTTCAACAGCTTATTAATAAGGCCAAAAAAATAGTTAATAGTTTCTTAGGTCAAAAAATTCAAAATTCAATGCGACAGGCAGTCTTTTTTAAGCAGGTTTTACACCTTTTTCAAGCCATTTGTTCAATAAAATAATATCTGCTACATGTAATTCTTCATTTTTGTTCTCTGAAATTAGGTATAATGTGTATTCAACTTTAAATTATGTTATTCGAAATTTTTATTTAAATATTAATAAATAAAATATTGTAAATTTAGAACAAAAATATTGTTTTTCTAATAAAAACGTCTATCTTATTATTTATGAAAAGGAGAATAACTCAATTTTCTTTTTCAAAAAATAGAAAATTGAGTTTTTTCCCTTTTGAAAATGTCAATAACATTGATCAATGCAGCCGTTTCTGAATTGATGCGGCGGTGCCTGAGAAACTATTGATTAATTTTTTTGGCCTAAAATACATCGGCTCATCTACTAACTTTCTTCTATACTAAATATTTTATCACACTTATGTTTGTAATCCTTGGTTTTTAACACATCTTTTTCGAATGTCACTCTTATCTCTGTGTAATTATTGTTTCACAACTCAGCAAGATCAAAGCAACAAAATATCATGACTAAATTTTACTTTTTTAATTTGAAATTTCAGTAGGGCAAAACCTCTTCCACTTCAAGCATGTTATTCTTAGAACTGGTAATAAAATATTCATCAGAAATAAAATAAAAAAACTTTCTTTTAAATTTTGAAAAGAACCATTTGAGCAACTTAAATACATCTTTCCACTTTCTAAGTATTCTTCTCGTTTTACCTCCTCATCCTGCTTGCAAGTTTCTATCTTTGTACAGTCACTATTTTTCTTTCCATATGAGCATGTGTAACATCTCTGTACTGAAAAAAGCAAAAAATGATTGTTGTTAATGTATATTGTTTTTAGTATTTATTGTTATTTTTATTGTAGAAACATAAAAGCTGGAAATACGAATATCTTTACAACGTTTAAGCTTGTTTTACTATAATAAATATATTGAGTTAATTTGGTTTTATGTCAACCGCAATATAATTGCAAGAATGATGTAATATTTCAAAACCCCTTTAAAACTTCATAAAACGTAATTTTTGTTTTAATTAATATTTCACGTACGAAAAAAATGTTTCACACATCAAAACATCCGTTGTACTTGAGTGTACATGTAATAAAAACACTAACAATTAATATGAGGTCAATTTCATTTATACCTGGCTGAGCATTACAGGTAGTTGATTCCCCTGCCCCACCCCCTTTTCAGACTCAACGTTTTAGCTCCCCAGAGCCGAATGCTCAAACGAGCTTTTCTGATCGAAATTTGTCCGATGTCTGTCGTCGTCGTTATCGTTTTCCTTACTGATTTTACACAATTTTATCTTCTCTAGAATTACTGGGCTAATTGAACCTTACTTCGGACAGAGTATCCTTGGGTGAAAGGGATTCAAGTTTGTTCAAATGAAGGATAATGCCCTCATCCAAGGGAAAATAATTACGAAATAGCAAAAACTAATGGCATCATTGAAAACTCTTCTCAAGAACCAATATACCCATAGTCACAGAGCATGTGACCCCCAGGATCCCTACTTTTCATCCAATAGAATTTATTATTAATATATCAATTACTTTATGAAAAAATTGTTTTCTGTGTATCTTTTTAAAATGTTAATTCCAAGTCATCAAGAAAAAAATATGCTTTGAAATTATATCTTTTCACGAGACGGAGTTCGAAAACATGGTCTGTTTGATTATAATGGACTTATACCTTTGCATGGATTGGTTGCCGAGCAAGAGGAAGTTTGGGTCCCTGAACCAGCACACTGTTTTCCATCATATGCAGGGGCTGGATTGGAACAAGTTCGGGTTCGAGTTTTAGTTCCAGTTGCCGTGCGAGATGTTGGCTTACATGTCACCGAGCATGCGCCGTAGGAAGTCCAACTAGCCCAGTTACCATCAACTAAAATAGATACATATTATCAGTGAAGAAGTTGCTTTAGAGAACCAAATTAGGAATGCCTTGTTTGTTTACAATTTCAACGTCAGACTCACTTGGTAGAGGTTTAGCGCAGTCTTCATTAACCTTTCCATCGCCGTCATCATCTGTCAGCAAAAACAAATGACGTAGCTAATTAGATAAAAACATAAATGAAGTAGCAGTTATGATGGACATATCTAAATGACTAAATGCAGATCGATGATTTCTTGTTTTCACTCCCCGCCACCTACTCCTACCCCAGCCCACCCCCACACACTAACACACACACACAAGTAAAAACATGCATCAACTGCTCCACAAATCTATCCATTTTCGAAATTTTAAATGAACAATCGGAGACTTGAAAACTTGAATATATCTTGTCTACAATGTGTTATTCTGACCTTTATTTTTGTTTTCCGGAGTACACAGTTCCTCATCAATCTTGCCGTCACAATCGTTGTCAATACCGTCACCCGTCACAGTCGGCGTTGGAACACAAATCTTAAAGAGATAACATCCATGTGCCATAAATTAATAATGATAATAATTAACAATAATAATATAGTTCAATTGATGCAAAGCATCAAACCGGCCGCAAAAATAAGTTATTTTAAATTGCATTTTACAGAGTTTTCATCCTACAGAAATCCAAAGAAAAAAAATTGCATTGCGCGCGATAAAGGATAGCAATATCATAAAATGATCTAATTTAATGACAAATGCAAAATATAATCTCAAGTTAATAATTATGAAACTATGGGTTTTTGTCGCTTGATCTTAATGATAATGCCGATGCTGAATCAAAATACATCAGTGAAGTGGGAAAAATCTTTTATCATTTTCAACTGTAGCTGAACAAAATTCAATACTTTTATTAAAATTTAACATGTTACAATTTATTAGTCTAGATATTTTTGGCACAGTTCTTCATATCCGGAATCTTAATACCTTTCGTTTCAATAGCTTACACACGCCCATCTTTGAAAGCAGTTCTTGCAACACTTTTTAGAAAGGGGGTAGGAATTGAATGATTGGTAATTGAACATCCCCGACAGGTAGTTCGGACTTGCACATTAAAGCGTTTTATACAACAACACTAACTTATTTACAGCCAATTGCCCATCAAGTTTCGCAAAGGTTTTTGATGGCATGTCATAGGCAGCTTCTAAAATACAGTGTACTGTCTGTTTCTGTAACCTCTGAATCCTCTCAAGGCTAGAGGCTGATGCATTACCCTTTATTGTTAAACAGTATTCAATTGATGGCATTATATAACCATAATAGAAAATTTTGCTTGTATATAATGGAAGATATCTCTTAATTCTACGTAATACAAATATCTTTCTAGATACTAATTTACAAACTAATTTACAAACAGTGTTAGTCGCCCGGTTAGAGCGTCTGCTCTAGACTCGCGAAGTAAAGAGTAAATCCTTACGTCGCGGGTTCCAATCCCACTGTCAATGGGACGTTTGCAGACTGGCAAATGGTGGCATCTCGGTTCTTTAAAATGACAATCACAATCGTATAAACCGAGTACTTTTTTTCTTCTGTGCCTAAGAACATGCATTTTGTTTTTACCGGTGTACAAAATCCTCTGATTCTGATAACGCAAAGTTTCTGTATTGTTAAGTCAGAGGGTTATATATTTTTAATGGAAGAAACATAACTGGCAGAAACGTGTAGAGCAGCATCATTTGCAAATATTATTGTTTGCAGTTTACTGTAAAGTTTTACGTTATGTCACGATCTATTTGACAGCTGCGCTAAGGTAGATAGTACACGCCTCCTAACCGCAAGCTTCACGACTAGAACTTTCTTCTTATCCCTGATTGGTTGCTCGTGCAACAGACTTTTCCGTGTAAATGTTGATAATAAGTTGACCAATGACCAATCACGTGAATTGTTTACTCTGGATGCATCTGACGAAAAAGGTCGTGTCGTAACGTAAAACTTTACAGTTAACTGCAAACAATAATAAGTCAATGCTTGAATTTTCTAGGAAACGCATTAATAAAATACGTTGATACAATAGCATAGTTTAAGTTTAATTCAGGATTTTATCTCTCGCACATTATATTTCATTTTTAAAAGTTTTGGAAACATAAATTCACTTTTCAAAACTTTGAAACAAATAAAAAAAATTAAAGAAACATTTTTCTGTTTCATCTGATAAAGAAAAATAAAAACAAAACTTACAGCATTTACTTTGGCCATTCTCATACCAGTGGTAAACCCATACGTTTCATAACTAGCCCTTCCGTATAAAAACCCTCCAAAGATAGCAATAGGAGACGTGTGACGAACTGTGTGAGTCCCTTCAGGTATAGAGATGTATCCTCCTACAAGAGTGGTTCCCGAGATTGGATTAAATTTGGTATTGCTGGAGAACGCCTTGCCGTTAATTCTCAGACCGGACTTTTCCTTTTCCTCGACAATGAACATAAAGTAATTTTCATAGGACCCTTTGGAATATTTTGGCGTAGTAAACGTATAATCTGCAGCATACTGTTCACATGGAGGAATGATCATCATGGCCGGGTCAGATTCTTCGGAGGAGCTCTGCTGGGATTGGACAAATTGGACAAGCATGATGGGCTTGTCTGCAACTACCCTACAGTAGGCTTTGGAGGAGATAAGCTTCTGTACCACGCCTCCCGCCTTAGATATAGTAAATGATGACGAATAACCACCTGATATTTTTACTTTGGTGTTAGCCTCGCTGGCAATGAATTTAAAGTAATCCCCAACGGTTCTCTTCGGAATTGGGACAGTTGCAAAAGTTTTACCCCAAGTGTTGACAGGAGTCATGTGCTCTACCAAATGATCCCGAGAAGTGCCTTTGCCTATATTTGTTCTCTTGTTTCCAGAGAAAATGGATATCCTTTTATTAGACGTGACTTTACTTCCACTCATGTCGCCAGTACTGACGAGCTGCCACGTGTCGTATTTGTTCAGATTCTCTGATATAGAATTGCCTTTTTTATAATTCTTTTTATTATAAGTGACATATTTACTTCCCATGTACTGACCCAGAGTGACGGTGACTTTCGTTGAATCTTCCACCCCAACAACCATTAACTGACATTGCATGGACGGAGGGTACCACGAAACGACATAATATTCATCAGACAAAACATCAGTGGGAAGACCCACGAAACCATCATTGGAATAAGGTTCTTTGTTAATGCCATAAACCACGATTTCGTCGGAGGCGGTGACCAAGATACCTTTTAAATGAATAACATGTATAGTATGAAATTAATATCACATGTATAATTTAGCTTTTGACTTGAGGTAAAGATTCTAAAGTCGTTATCAAACTTGTATACATAATTTGAAATTCGGAAAGAAAGACAGAAAAAAGACAGAAAATAAAAATGGAGATATTTTAGTTACCTTTGTTGCCTTTCGCTGATCCGTACATTCTTATTTTGCTATGTAAGAAGAGTTGTTTAACTTGACCAGCTGTTATGGAGAAGGAAGCTGAGATTTTAGGGTTGGAACACTTTGGGGAGTCTACTTTTACACTAACTTTTGTCGTGCTGGCGGTGGTGATGAAGAGCTCACACTGGTAGCTAGATCGATAGATCTCGTTTTCCATAAAACCAATGACAAACTCCTTACCACGATTATCGGGCGCCCCTAAAGAGGACAGGAAAGATAAATACAGAGACCTAGAAAATTAGCTATTGTTAACAATAACAGTCATTTTCACACACATTTCGCCATTTACACGTACATGTACCTATCCGCCATATTTTTTGCTAAAGTCCCCCTTCAACTTCCCGTCTCAAAACCAATGGAAAGAGAGCATGAAGTTTTCGTTATAGTTGCCTAGAAATCGACAATTGAATACTGAATACAAGGAAACATTTTCGCGTCCGTTTTAATTTCACCCTCGTCGCAAGTGGTCGAATTTCAAGCAGGGCGAATTCAAATAAGACAGTATTATGGATCTGTAACACAGCTGTGTCTGAGCGAATTAAAGGAGTATGATCGGGTGAAAATAACACGGAGCGAAAATAGCCCAGTATACAGTAATTTTCCTGAAATGGTGTTCTTACCTAAAACTGCAGTGGTGCTAGCCAGAAAGGCAATCGCCAACAGAATCAGACCACCTGTAAATAAATAGACGTCCATAAAAATTAATTCTTTTTACATTAATTTTCCACTACACCTATATAGAGAGGTTCGCGCGTGGGGGACTGGAAAGAAAAAAGATTGCAATGTTGATTTTTGATTTAATAAGGAACTGATTGTTTCGGGGGTACAAGGTCTATGTTTGGAGTGAATAAATTTCCTAATTGAAAATATTTGGTGTAGATAAAGCTAAAATACTATAATTTACCAAAGATATATTGATCAAGTGGGTTCTACACTATATTAGTATTATCTGGTTTTTTGGTAAATTATCAAACGAACCTTCATCATTTAATAAATATTTTTTTTTCATATTTATGAGAATAGAAAATGGACTTCAATTCATCCAAATTCCATTATAATTCTTTTTCCCTATACAGATAATTATTCCAATTATTTTATGTTTACTGGCATTAAAAAGGGTAGAAATTATTATATAATATTTATTAACATATTTATACATTTATTAGATAACTTAACAGATCAAAGGGTTAGCAATAAATGACATTTTAACAAGCGGTTTTTAACTAAGTTAACTTAGAAAAGCCTCATTGTTCAATATCAATTTAAAATATTAAAAATTATGAGCTTTACGATAAACACAATGATTAGAAAACTAAACCACTGCACCGTTCTCTTAGGTCTGCAGTTACATTTAGCGCACTGCCAAGATACCTGCTATACGGTAAAATACAGGAGGGATGAGACTTCATGATATTGTAATCTTTTAATCATGAAGATTATAACGATCAATTTTCAGTAATTAAACCAGAAGAGGATAAGTGCACACCAGTTCTTTCACACTTGTTCTTTCAAAGTTGCAATATGTATTGCTCAAGGCTTTTATTCATATTTAAGATAAGTAGAGGCCTACTTCTGATAGATAAAAATTATTCATGTAGATCTACGAATACATGATGTGAAAACATACTCTGTGTTTCATCTATAAACTATATAATATTGGAATCTTTAACGAGATAATCAAAACAATTGCTACATGTAACCGGATGGGTCGAATTTGTTGCAAATGACAAACGAAATGGCTCAGAGAAGACGACGACCGGAAGCAGTATTCACGTTGCAATGTTTTAAAGATAGAAACAAAAGTTTCTGTTTATGCACCTTCTAAAAAAATTGATTTTTTACATAAAATATTTATGTTTTATTTATATACCCTAGTCGAGTCGTAAGGAAACTGATGTAATTCCAGGCGCTTACTTGTTCTGGACGCTTTCGTGCTTGGAGTAAATGTATTGGTACTCTATACCTTAATATAAATATTTCGTCTGCTCTGAACAAGGCGGAAAGTAGAAAAGACAGCGCATGCTCATCACTTGTGTATTATTAACAATAGAATCGTCATGATAAGACCACATAATTCCGGAAAATGGGCTGCACTTTGTAATGATTTGTGTGTAGAAAGTAATTTATAACCATCATCCTTAACAACTGAATTTATCTTCTAGGGATAAATCTGATTATTTCAGCAACTTACCGGATATGGACGATTTCGATTTCGAGCATTTCGTGACGAACACGGCGCCCACTAGTAGGAGGAGCAGCTCTAGGCCACCTGAGAAGCAACCTGAAATTGATATGATTGATTGATGGAAAAAATACATGTTTTTTTCAAGTATTTGTCATTTGAAATTGTAGACAAAGAAGAATAACATTATGCAAATTCAATGCAAATGGCGCTTGTTTCTCCCCATTATTATTATAATTATTAATAGACGTTGCTTTCGTAATTTTCAGGAAAAGTTATAAAAATTCTGTAATAATGCAGTTTATTTTTTCCGGTTACGAAAGTAGCGGGAAATGCTATTATCAAAATAGGAATTTAAATGTATGTATTGTACTTTCATTGACCTTTTTAAGAAAATCAGGCTAGGTATTTAAAGTTCATGGGTACTCGTTTTGGTAATAAGGTCAAAAAATGTGTGAATGAACATTAATTCAACTCTTGTATGATTTTATTTTCGCAATGAATGCTACACGTTAAAAGAAATGTTAAAATCTGAATTGTAATAAATATCTACCATCGATATCTTATTGAAGTGATAAGAAGATAAACGCGAAAATAATCTAGATAATATACTTAACATTTAGTTATAATTCCTGATTGCAATCAGTCGTGTATTAATTTAACGTAGAATAAAATTGCAGGAAAAATTCAAAAAAAAAAAAAAAAAATTAGAAATATTTCCAAAAGAAGTAAAAATACATTTTATAATTTTACAAAACAGGATAGCCAAGATAAAAAAAATTATTGAAAAAATGTTCATAAAAAATCTCATAAAGTGTGTTATTTAAACAAACAATTAAGGTACATTACCCATTTCGCAGCAGCACTGGGGCCCCCTGTAATTCTCTTCGGATGACAAGCCGCAAATGACCAGGGTGTGAAACCCATGTACGTCATAGATTTCTTAACCTCTCTGGCACAATTTCATGGAAAAGGTTAATTACTTAATGCGTTTTACTGCATGTTAAGTTCAGTTGTGTACGTTTACGGCAGGTTGAATGCGCAATAAAGAAAGTTTTGCAATTTATGACTGTATTTCCTTAAACTGTTGCAATTTCAAAACGAAAATCAAGTTTACTTTCATTTGTTTTAACTTTTTTATTCTTTTTCTCAAAACCAATATTACAAGCAAGTTTAGACTATTCACACTAATGACTGAGTCAAAACTAAAATTTAATAAATCCAATGAAGATCAAATGAAAATGCACAATTTCTCTTATTCTGAAACCGAGTGGTTTAGACAATTTCTAAAAGATGCATCTTTAAAATAGAATCATGTTTACGTTATTTCCCCTAAGTATAAAGATCTACTGCCCACGGATTTGAAAGGAGACGCAAAAAATACAAAACATTCCGCGTGTCCTCTCATTTTTTTTAATCACTGGCAATTAAAATTGATAATCAGTGAGAGACAGCAGTCTATTTTTAATCATCGCATTTCTTTAGATATTGTCAGTGGATACTAAATCGATCGACAAGTCAAGATGCACTTTTTCAAATAAAAAAAAATTACATGTTAATGTTTTATTTGTTTGTCTTGTATAATTACTTATTTATCATATAACCAATCCAGATAAACTTGCTAAATATTTGCAAGATTGTATTTTTTAAGTCCAAAAACAGACAGATGATCAAAGGATTTCGCCGGTATGGGTAAAATGATTCACCCTTTGAAAAATTATCATATCAAAATCTGCATTCAAGACAAAGAACCACAGTTAGACCATACTTAAGACAGTAAAATGTAACATTTACAATTTCAAAATGTTTTATGACATAAATTGAACACAGTATACATGTGAACCTAATTACAGACGAGTTCATTTAAGGGGATTTATATTTTAACCCTAGTTATAATAAGGTTGCATAAAGTAATGCTCCACATAAAATTTAAATTGATCTTTGAATTTTATAAATCTTCCAAGGGAAAGAGAATATATTAATATGGCGTTTTTACTCATATAAATTTCCATGGCTGGGGAATTTTCGGGAGGGGATTAATGGTTCCCGTTTATACATAATTTACCTAACATTTAGGGAATAATGGTCGAAGGCACCGGGGGTGGGTGCCCCCCCCCCCATAAAAAATTATTTTGCCAATATATAGAGTACTACTCAACAAAAGCGTCTTATGACCCCTTTTTTTGCTTGTCAAGAAATTTTTGGTATGCATGGCTGCGCCCCTCCCCCAAAAAAACTGAAATTACTTCCTAAGGGCCTGAGAATAGTGGATAGTCTTGTTCTTAATGTTCATCCACATTAAACTACTGCATTCAGCGGCAATTTTATAGATGACATAGCTTTTCAATTCCTGTATGGATCCGTGTTTGCTATTGTATCATTAAATTATTCATCAATATTTACACAATTTTTAAATTTCTTTGTCCGAGGTAAAACTTCATATTCGTGTAGTAAAAATGCTTGATTTCTGCATAAACCTTCTGTTCATGTATATGTATATGCCAATGACTTGTGTGATAATTCAATGCAAAAACACCTTCGGCAAATTATCATGCAATCTATTTGCTTGATCACATCACGACCAATAAAAAATTAAGACATGTATTCCTTAAATCAAATAACGATAGAATCACGTATTTATCGCGTGTGATAAAAACCTATTTGTATGCATTCGAAGACTTTTAAAAACAAAAAGAATAATTAAAAGTGCATCAAAGATCTTGGGCATTATTAGGCTAAATTAATGCATCCAAAAGATTACATTTAGTTTCATTCAATTAGCCAGAAAAAAAAACATAATCCCCTTTCACACTTTGCACACCCAGTAATCCATTTTCTAATCCTAGTATAAATTTGGACAGCGACAAAGAAATGAACCCATAAGCATTTATTTTTTTTAAACATCTGCGTCCAGAATTGAGTATATGATCGAGTAAATTATCCAATTTTTTTTTTCGTAAGCTTTTTGTATAACTGCATTACACAAACGATTAATATTTTTTTTTAAAAAATCATCCAATGTCTCTTACATACCGATCTGCAATTTATTTATAAAAAATGCAACCTTGAGGAGCATAACTTGTTTACCTTTGGGTAAGTCGAAGGGGCAGGGACCTGTATGACTTGAATGTAGGCGGAGTTGTTCTAATAATTTTGAGTGAACGACAACATTCATCAACTATCATACTCAAATATTTTTTAAGATTTTTTCCAGAGAGATAACAGGACTAATTTACCCCTTCATCCGGGTCCTGTAAAATGACCCTGTCGGAAAGAACTGAATTTTGAGAAATGCGAATTGTGGGTTCACCTTCAATCTAATTCTTTATTAAGCAGGCAAACTTTTTTATATCCTTTGTATAAATTCACGAAGTCGCAGAATAGAAAACGGTAAGGTTTGACAGTTACAAACTAAAGGGAAAGGTTTTTATTTGTTGTTCAAAAACAGACTACTTGTTTTGTGCTTTCTTATATCCAGTGCACTCACTTTCTTTGATTAACCCTATAAAGCTAAGTGACACCTTTTAACAACTTTTCAGCATAACAGTTACTTATATCTGTTGACGTTTTGTAAAAACGGCTTATAGAGAAATTTTTGCTCCCATTTATTTTCACCCCTTTCGCCCTACCCTCGGTTGGGCGAATTTAAAACGGAGCGAATTCAAAGAATACAGTATGATTTCTTCAAGGAACTGTGATTTTGGCGAATTTATGACGGGGCAAAATTGTTTGAAAGTGTGAGGGCAAAAATAAATCGGGCAAAAATAACCCGCTATACAGTACTTGCAATGTGAGAAAAATTTTTTTTTTCGAAATTAAAGAAAAAACTAAACTTTTGGGGTTTTCCAAGAACTGGGACCATTTCAAAATGTAAAATCGGAACACATTATTATTGGATACAGTGAACTGTTTAACTCAACAGTTATCAACAGTCCAGCGCGTCTATTTGAACATGGTATTTTTGCTTGGCGAATTTGCAGTCTTTCTCTCACACAGCGCTAGCTCCAGTAATGCAACGCATTGTTTCCAGCGTAAAAGCCAACATTAAACAAAAAAGAATATAGAAACTCTGATTCTTTCAAATTAATGATAATTTATTGTTTATTTACGCTTTGATTTCTACCTTTTAAACTTAAAATGATTATTATTATATCTAAGTGGATTTTGCGTTTTTTTGATTTTCAGCATATAGAGCCTCGGATCACTCTTAATTCATATAACTATAAATTATTGCACATTTTATTCACACCAAATGCAAGAGAGTATGGCTGAAAATGTTTGATTGATTTCGGGAACAAATCAAAAACACTTCATTCGCAGACCGGATGAATTAACATCGAAAGTCGGTAAGCATTATAAATTAAACATCATGTTGGCCATTTCAGAATGATCAATATACAGTTGTTGGTAGTATTTAGACCGAAAGCCTATATTATTTTTAAGGCCAGTTTAGACAAAAGTTGTGTCGCTAGAGGGAGAATCGTGTCGCTGTTGGTGACTGTGAAGGAGAGACTGCAGATAGTGCACGAGTCCTCCAATCTGGTAGTATTCCGCCTCCGTCAACAATTCTCTCCACAAGTTGGGATTTTCTGGAATAGTTCCATCTTTGACCTCACTGTCTCTTAGAAAGTTAAGAATGTATCGAAAGTGTGTGCCATCCCTGTCTATGAAGTAGCTTCCATTGCCATCTTCTTTTTTCAGTTCATGGCGACCGCTAAACATGGCCGCCAGCATCGAGTCTGGATCACGGTTAAGTGTGGTTAGTGATGTCGTAAACAGTTGACCTCCGATATCCAGTTTGATGCGGCTATCCTGGATTTTGTACATGTCTGACATACGCTATGGGAAAAAAATTGATATGAAATCCATATATTTTGGCGTAAAAATGTGTTATACATTGTACAATAATGAAATATTTTTTTTAAATGTATTTTTTCTCATTTCACGAATGATAGAATGAATTTTATATATTTGACAGTATTTTGAAACTAAACAATGAATTGTTGCAACAATTCAGAAGAAGTTTACCTGCAATTCCGAATGAAACTTGTCTCGTTCATTTTCAAATGATTCTTTCTGTGCATTAAAGTCGGTTCTCCTTCGTTCTTCGAGGCGATCCAAATCTTCCCTTTGCTTCTTGCATTCTACCTCAATGTCTTTTCTGCGTTTGTCACATTCGTTCAGTTGCCTCTCACATGACTCTAACTGAGCGTCTAGTACCTTTTCTTTATTTTCCAATTTTTCAGTGAGATCCTCAATAAATGACTCTCTGCGATAGATATCGCGTTCTCGTTGACGCAAATGATAGTCTCGTTCGTCAACAAATTCCCGCGCTTTTTGCACGAAAGCGTTAAAATTGACGTGGAGATTATCCACTAAGCTCTTCCCAATATGGTCGATCTGGTCATGGATATCGACCTCCCAGCTGCTCGTAAGGTCCGTGAAGATGTCATGTTCGTACAGAGGTCCTACTGGGCACTCTTGAATTTCTTCCGCGCATGCGTCTTGAGGAGCTTTTACCCATTTCCCTTCTTCGTCACAAATTTCAAGAGCGACAATTGGACGAATAAAGTCGGAATCGATATCAAGATATTTTCCCACAGTTTTGTCGCGATTCAGAAGAAGTCTCCAGTCGCTATCGGTGTCTGTCTTAGCCCATATTCTTGAATGTTTTTCTTTTGGTATACGGTACAAATGCCGAACTTTATACTCAACATGGCCGATTTTCTCCATCTTGCTGAACTTGACATGGTGAAAGTCTTCAACAGATGATACACTGAGCATCACTTTGAAAGAGTTCAAATTGTGCTCTATTTCAGGACCGCGTCTGTAGTTATACACAACAAGTTTGATTGGTTTATGGCCATCCGTTAGTCCGTACCATTGTACCATCATACGCCATGCATCTTCGTGTACTACGTCAACAGTATGTGCATAGTCCCGACGAGTGATAATCGGACCAGGGTTCGTCCTTTGGTGATAAAATTTCCGTGTTGTCTGTAAGCCTATGTATCGTTTTAGTTGCTCTATCCATTCAGCCACAATAACATACCAAAATTCGCCTTCTATAGGACGTTTAAGAAACAGATGCTCTAGGATTGTTCTCTGGGTCAAAAGGTCCGTCATTCCAGGACTGGCCGCTAATTCCATGTCTGCTTGGTGTACCCACGACGCCCTCTGTCGGTAGATGGGTATTCCCAGTGTATTCTCCGCTGTTTCTCTGCTGCAATGAAGCAGAGAGGAGAATTCCAACATAGACATACGGAAGCAAAAATCTGAGATAAGCACTTCAAAACACAAGATAACACGGGGCTCCCGAGGGTGATAATTACTTTGATGTTCAAGACATGATTTTAATTTCTTTCCGTCAGTGAATTTGGATACGAGAATTGAGTTGTTCCTTTTTCGTGAATAGAAATTAAATTTCCCAGTGTAGGAGTCTAGAGTAATTAAATTTTCACCTTTTATCAGCGTACCAATTCTCAAAACATTGAATTAAAAGTACTTTCAATGCATCTCATCTGCTTTAAAATTTATTTCCGTGTTTCATTTTCCTGCAGAACATATACATCCTCACGTCAAAGATTTCTTGCAGCAGAATAAGTAAACAATGTTTGTTTACATCTTTTATATAGCCACCTCCCCACATGCTAATTATTCTGTGATGGTGAACCGCCAAAATATTTGATAAATCCTTGAACAAATTGCGCAGTTACGTTTTTGCTGTTACGGTTGGCAGCAATGGGAGGTGAAATTTCTTGGAGAATATAATGACTGACGCAAAGGCCTACTTGTTTCCTGCAGTTTGATAATCATAATAAGTCAGATTTCTTTCATATTATGTGTTAGAACGAGAAAGTTTAAAGTTGTTGCATCTTTTTCACATTTGTGGGTAATTTTCATAACCCAAGAATTATGTTTTAAAATATTAATTTGAAAGATGAATCATGCGTTTTTTGTTTTTGTTTTTGTTTTTGTTTTTTTTTTTTTTTGTTTTTTGGTTTTTGTTTTTTTGTATACATATACATGTATACTGAAAGAAAGAAATTAGTGTATAGATCTTTCTAAGAATTTTTAGGATCTCAACTAATTATCCTTTCTTCTTATATAAAAAGGTGATCGTGCGACCATGCAAGGAATGTTCATTTGATATATAAAATATTCAATCTCTCTTTCGATCTTGATCTTAATTGTTTGATAATTCTTGTTTTAATAAAGGACTTGCGCAAGAAAGTTTTGAACTTAAATTTCTTATTCACTGTACAAAATAAAAGTACCAATCACTGAAGGACACTTCTGCGTGCGATTTTATGATTTCTGGCAACACTGTACATCTCCTACAAATCAAATTTAAGAGAATTACCAGCTAAAATTAAACTATATAATATGTTAATTTTTCTCCCAAATAGTAGGATTCCATCATTTTATTTCTGGTCAGAACTTCTCTGATCATCTTATGAAAGTATGATTTTAAGTTGAAAAAATATCTTAGAAGTTGTAGGGTGTGTATATACATGTACGACGTGTATGTCCTCTCTCTCTCTCTCTCTCTCAAAACACTACTAAAAATTTCTTGTTTTCTCAGGAATTCTGATAACCCACGGTGAAATGTTAGTGTAGGTAGAAAATGGTTCAATGCCTCGTAAACATGCTCTATAACACTACACTGTATATACCATCTCACATTTGAATCATATGCATGCTACTCATGCCGTGGATTCTAAGAACCAGTACGTATTTACGTATACACGATACTCATAATTTTTATGGTGGTTACTTGTACTTCGATTGGGAAATAAATTTAGTTTGTTGTGTTTTCTTCAATGAACTTTAAGGGAGTGATTTTCTTAATATTTATATGCATTTAACATTTTTTTTCCCTAAGATTCAAAAAGACATTGTCACTAAGCGTTGGCATCACTTAGATTAATATTGACCGTTTCATTGTAGGAGCAAGGTCAGGTCAAGGTCATTTTCGTTTTCTTTGACATCACGAATTAAAATGTCAGTTGCCTAATTAATTTCAATGGTCTTTGACCTTCACCAATGAAAAATAGCGCTCAATCAAGACTACAACCCACAATAAAAGATGCTGACCAACTAAGATTTATTGAGGTGCGGTCAGGAACGGTTTGTGATAGAGAGCATACTGAGATCAGATAGGCTGGTTCTGTAGTGACCTTGACAGTGATGATGTAGAACAGACAGACACATACAAAACTACCAGGTATATGACAAAATCAGAAGGGTTTTTTTCGGGGGAGAAGAGCAGTTAATTTCTCCCACAAATTACATAACACTCAAAAGAATTTATGGACAACAGAATCCCAAACTTGTGGATTTTAATGCATCATAATGTTATTTAACATCATAAGGTGAACATTATTGCAGCTCAGTGTGAAATGTACTTCAGGAAGAGCAGATATCAATATTTACATTCAGTGTAATTTTCTTTAAGGAATCCATTAGAAATCCATGACGTTCAAATCTCTGTAACACACACGAAACCTTGTCACCGCGCGTTAGAATACCCAGTAGGAACTATATGCATTTTCAATACTTTGTGATCACCAACATGTACAGTGTTTGACAAAATTTAATAAAAAAAAATTAACCCTGTTGAATTAACGAAAAAATACAACAAATGTGCATTTAAAATTAGTTTGTCACTTTTTTTTCCTCGCAATGTTCGTTTGCGTTATTTAACTTTACGACGTCACAAACGGCTCTTACGTCTATAAAGCACACCACTTTTGAAGGGCGCTAAATTCACATTAAAGATTACCGAAATTACAATTATGTAGAGGAAAATTTGAAGAATGTAAATATAAGTATTAAATTCATATTTTGGGATGTTTTGGTCCTACAACACACCTGGCCGTGCCGACAAATTATCATACCGCGCTAACGCAGGGTATTCAATTTGTCGGCACGGCCAGGTGTGTTATAGGACCGCAGACATCCCAAAATATGAATTCAATGCTTAAATATGTACTTTGAACTATATCTCCAAAGTTTATACTCTCTGACATAAAAAAAATACTAGTAATCTTTGATTTATTATGAACTGCACGTACATTGCTTTCCATGAGGCTGTACACATGAAAGTGACGATATTAATTGTTATGGGATAGTAAAAAGCATGATTACTGTCTTGTAACTATTAAATCGATGTTCAGTGAAGCAAAAATGGGTGCTAGATCTTTAAAAAGGGAAGGAAAATATTAATTGAATGTTAGATCTTTAAATTTGTTAAATGGCGGTCTCAATACCGAGTAAAAAAATTAAAGTCTGAATCATGTGGCAAAGTATCAATTGTGATATTTAATTATGGAAAATGTGGTTTTTCCTATTACGTAATGTTATTTTAAAATCTATACACATGTAAAAAACTATATTGTCATGTTGAAATATGGCCATTTAAAGGTTCATTCATTGAAAAAAGAATTCAATTAATCAACGATTTAACAACTCAGATGTCAAGTACAACAATAAAAGTTGCAGTTCAACGGATGTTTGAAAGTTTTTAAGTGAAGCTGATGGACAAAGATAAAGGAAGAGTACCGAATGGCCAATGATTCTCAGCAGGTCAACAAAACCGAAAGTACAGACCGATCAGGGGTGTTTTTTGTCTATAAAACGATAAACCCAGATAAAGACTGGGTGAAAAGTACAGTGGAGAAGTTGGAAAAAACTGGACAGAGATGTTTCTATCATGAGCGAGATTTCTTGCCAGGTCTCCAGATCATCGAGAACATAGTGAGATTTCTACAACGATCTTCCAAGGTTATCGTGGTGCTAACACCAGCGTTTCTACAGAGTCAATGGGTTGAATATGAAACCCAGCTTGCAAAAAAAATTAACATTGAAAATCCTGAACAACTTCAAGTAATTCCAGTGCTTCTAGAAGATTGTGCAATCCCTCCATTTCTCAGCACTACGACTTATTTAGATGTCCAACACAAAACGGAAGAACAATGGTTTGCAATTCTAAAAGAAAGCCTCAGGTTTGAATGTAAGTAAATTGCAACACATGAACACTTGCTCCATTTTTAATTTTTATATTAGTATTTTTTATTTACTGTACATGTATGTGTTTTGCTTTAGGTCAAAAGGAGCTTAGCTTCGTTAAATCAAGAGGCATTCACAGAAATCTATTTTGTAAATTAAAAAGTGTGCAAGGAAAACAAGAAAACGATCTCCAAGAATCCTGGCTTATAGATCTATGTTTTACAGAAGATGACCACGTTCTTGTTACAGATGCTAAAAACAAGAAACTCAAGAAATTCGTCTCCCGTGGAGCAAATATGGGAGCAACGGTTGACGTTTTGCAGTTTGATTCTCGTCCGATGTTCCTCACCCTGTTTAACGACATATCAGCTTACGTAACGTTTCCCGAAAACGAATTCATTCGAGTCATTAGTGCTGGAAATTCGCAACTGGCAATCAAAGACAAGTTCACTGTTCCTTTACAGTGTGGTGGAATATGTAAATTAGACGAAGAAAAGTTTGCTGTTTGCTGCCGTAGTCTGCAAAGTATTATTTTAATGAAGCGAAACGGAACCCAGCTTTCTGAAATAAGACCTTTGAAGGGTGACCCCTTTGAAATTTCCGAACTTGACTTGGAACAATTCTGTGAGAATGGCTTTGAGGGATTACAAATACAGGAATCAGATTTCTGTGCGACAAAGATTGATTGTAAAAAGATTTCTTCTGGAGGGACAGACGACGAACGAAATATAGGGGGACTAGAGGAAAGTGACTCGGGGTTACCCTCTCAAAACCATAGTACCATTCCTCCTGGTATAGAATCGGCAGTCCTGAATGAAGCTTACGATACCGACGAAGAAAACGATAATTTCCTAACGTTTAATGAACACAAAGGAGGCAAGAAAGATTTTCGATTTTTAAAGACAAACAGATTAAAAGCTAGAGAGGACAAGACTCATTTCATTATGCCAAATCACATTTCGGCCACGTCTGCTGGTGTAGGAAAATGGATGATCTACGTGGGTGATTACACAACAAATCGCATCACTGTTATTTACATGGCGGAAAATGGTTCCTTTCGATATCGACCCCTACCACCGGTTGCAGAACCCCGAGGAATTCTTGTTCACGGCGAAACCGTTCTCGTTGCTGCGGGGAGTGTCCGCATTTATACTGATAAACATTTAAGTAAAGCGTCGGAAGAAAATCTCTCTGTTGAGGCATCTCATCCAAGATCATTGGCATTGAATAAGAAAGGCGATCTTTTTGCGCTAACACATAAAGGGGATGGTGACGAATTCATTTCTATATACACACTATAAGATGATGACTTGTATTTACTCATGAGATGGGTGTTCTGTTGTTACCCTTGCATGATAACAATATTTTTACGTCCCGTAATTCTTCAAAGAAATCTTTCTTTTTTATACTCCCCGCTTGAAAAGTGATAGTGATCGGAATGTTCGTCCGTCCGTATGTTATGCTTTGGGGTACCTATCTCTTATCCACAACTCCTCTTTTACCACTGAATAAAATTTAATGAGACTTTCACAGAATCTTTGTTCTAGTTCCACTGTGCACCTCCTATATCACTTTTTGATCGGACACGTATTTTGGATTTCACAGAACAGAACATGAGCACGGTCATTTTTCTATATTATTGAAGGGTACTCATCTCTTATCAACTCCTCCTATACCACTAAATAAAATTTAATGATACTTTCACATATTCTTTATTACATAATATGCCAGTGACCTGTTATTTAACTTTTTGATCCGACACTTATTTCAGGTCTCCCAGTGCAAAACATGGACACTGCCATTATAACTATATTGGAGCGGGGTTATCATCTAGTGAGCTTATTGCTCACAGTACCTCTAGTTTTACAGTGTAATTTATTGCACTATGCAGCGGACTTTAAATTTCTTTATTTATTCTTCCTAACATTGTAGAAGCAAACAAAAGTCATATTTTTGCACCCAAGTTCTTTACATTGACAATGAAGGAGATATGTGCTCAGATAGAATCAGTGTAGCAAAATACACTGAACAATGCCAAGGCTTATATAGGGTTTGAAGATGTATGTTCTTGAGGAAACAAATATGGCAGTCAAAGATAATTCTGCATTTTACAAATCATGTTCAGCTTTGACTTCAGCATTTGAGCAAACTAATCAGGCATGGCTATAAATTGCAATAATGATATATAAACAAACACCAGTGTTTTACTCTTGAATTTATTAAAATAACATAGCCCTTTTCAGGAATATGTATATAAGTATGATAAAAGCCATCTGACATAAATAGTGCCAGACATGTATCGATACCACACTAGCTTCACTGGCCTGTAGCCTCTGATAGTCACTATGGTAAAATGGGGGAAGTTTGAACATCGAAACAGAATCAATGATATAAAATATTATCCAATTTTCAATTTGCTACCAAATATGTGGTATGGCAATATTATAACATGAATGAAGATATATTTATATACGCATGTATAAAACTTGAAAATTCTAACATCTGTCTAAATCTTTGACAAAAAATCTGAGGATTATAAATAAACATACATAGCATGAATGAACATACACATCAAACAATAATGCAGAGATAGAAACTAAACGTCTCGAAAAGAGCACTTGATCAGTCATTCATACTTTTCCAGGTTTCCACTTGTAGCACAAACATGTATTGCAGTATCAAAAAAAAATTATTCAAAGATTTCCCGAGATAACACTAATAGAATATTACAATATCTTAACAAGACAGAAACACAATACAGGGCATTTTAATATTATTTCAAGATGTCCACAAGATATTTTGGCGTAAGAAAAAAAAAGTCGCAACAAAACTTCAACCGTACTGTGGACATATTATATTGCTGTGTACTTTTCAGAGCAGTTTAATTGATAGCACAGAAAGTGCATCAGATATAAACAAAAAATTTCTTTAAGCATATACAGACTAGCTGTACCATGGCTAAACCTCTTACAGAAATAAGCCATGAGGAATGTTTGACAATAAAATTACATAATCCTCTCTCTGATACATTCATATAAAGATGAAACGAAAAAAAAATCTGATGAAAATTCATTTTCAAACATTTTTCAATATCTCTTGTTCAGAAAACGAGGCGCAACTGTTGTGACGAGAACTGAACACAGTCTTTTGACTCCAGATGTAACAGAGAATGAGAAAACGCAAAAAAACATGGAAAGGACTTCATACGCAGACAAGGTCAAAGGTCATCACAAATAGTGGCACCATGCTGGAAGGAAATAAAGTGGTCGTTAAATCACTGTCGAGTGTCGAGATTTGACCGATTCCTTGTTCCTCATGCTGCCGGATTCCGGCCTCGGGGCGGGCATTCCTTCGTTTCCCGTAATTATCACAGTTCCGTAAAACTTTTCTTGTTCATCTTTTTGTCTTTGAAATTCCTCTTCAAGTTTCTAAAATAATATTTTTGTTTTCAAGGATTAGCATTTAAATCAGTTTTCACAATCATAAAAATATCAGTCTTAAATAAAATGAAGTCGACAAGAAGAAATACAGTTTTAAAATGATGCAGTTATGGTTTCCATGCAATACAAACTGAATACAAGGTATACAGTGAACAGTATAATGAATGAAATGAACTACATGTAAATATTTTTTTTTCAATACATGACTTTTTTAAAGGAGCTAGTCCTTAATACATATTTACCAATAATATTTTTTTTCTCTTATTTGTTAATTAAGAGCAACTGAAATTCATAAAATACACACCACCAAGAAACAACTTTTTTAAAAACATAAAATGATTTCTCTTGATTATGACAGTTAGGCATCTCAGAAATCAAATTCTGTCTTTGATGAAGAATTAAATAGAAATGGAAAATTTTCAAAAATTACAAAAATTTTACAGAACTAAAACAGCTTTGATTTCTGAGAAGCCTTTATAAGATATGTTCCAATTTCCATAATATGAAAACAAAGGCAGCTTCCCAAAAAGATAAAAAGTCCAGACTTTTGTCAGAAGAGACAAACCTCTACTTTGCCTTAGCGTAGCTCTGAAATGAATCAACTGAATCTAAGAGATTCTGCCAGGGGAAAAAACAGAATGGTTCATATGAAATACAATTTGAGATGAAAATAACTTGGAGTTCATGTAATTGCCAGGAAAAATAAACAGCTGCAGCTCGTATTTTTAATAGAAAGGTTCATATGAAATATGATTTGAAATGACAGAATCTTAATCGAGATAAGGTAACTGTCCATTGGGTAAACGAACAGAAATATTTAATATATATAGAAAAAAAAATAAAAGTTTTATGAAATATATGTCTCCATGCTACACATATAACTGAATAGGTCATCTTTATATGTACATGGACCTGTGGGGCTTACTCAGAATGCAGCACTGACAACATTGATTTTATCAGAGCTGGAGACTTTATGAATTGTTCCTCTCCGTCCAGGAGAAGTCGTGCGCCTATGTATCTCGGATTTCACCTCTAACACGGCTAAATGCTCCTGCCAATAGGAATTTAAAACTGAACATTGCATCTTAATCCGTCAAAAGTTTTTCTGAGTACAAAGGAATTTTTACTCCTGATTTTTATGTGATGATACGAAATGTTTGGAAATGGTTAGTTTATATTCTATATGTATGTTCTGTTTTCATGAAACATGAATATTTTGAACAAGAACTACTTGTTTTTAAAAACACATTCCTACTTTGGTCATAGTACAATCAATACTGCACGATGAAAGACATGACAAGAAACTCCTTGTTTATGAAAACTCCCCACCCCTATTTTTATAAGAATCTAATCTGTAAATTCATCTAGGTTGTGAATTAACCTCATCTTCCCAATTTCAATATTATACAAAGCTAAAACCACATACCTCTAGCATGCAATGAGTGTGAATTAGGGATTTCTTCTAACTCTCCTCTGAATATTATATGAATATATATATACAATGTGCCAATCAATATTATTCAATCATTGACAACGACCAATCAACAACAACAAATCAAGTTGATTGCTCCAACCACAATTTAGCTACTACTGGGATATGTTCATGTACAATGCAAGATGGGTTAATCCAAATCTCAAAAAAAAGCTTCTAACTTTTACGACGTGATAATCAAGACTTCTTAATACAACATGAAACAATAATAGCCCATTTTAAAAACTAGAAGGGAAAAAAAAACTAGGGCATCATTTTTAATTTAAAATTTCAAGTGAATGTCATTACATGTAATACTGAAATGAACTATGAACAAACTTGAAAAATCTTGAATGATAAACAACATATGAAGCCAAACAAATGACAATATAATGACATGAAAACACAGGTCATTCCCTCAATACTCACACTGGTGGAGAACTGTGACAATTTGGCTAAAACATGACATATTATGCAAACTAATGTGAAGGGACTTGATGTAGTGTAGGCCACAGAACATTAACTGGGCCATGTAGAAATGTACCTGCCTATTTCATTATCAAATGTTTTAACAATTAAAAGATAAAATGTTGCAAGCTGCCAATCTTGCTAGTTAATGTTCAGCAGCCAAAGACAGTGATTTTGACCAAAAAATGAAAATCCATGATAAATGATGTTCAAAAAAAAAAATCATGAAAGCTTACTGTACAAACTAAGAAACAATCAAATTGTTAGGAGTGCTTATATTGGAATTATTAATCTAAGACAAGTTAAGTCCCCACTTAGCTTCTATTGTGAAAATGAAATTAAGTATTGTAAATCTACTAGGTCAGTAAGGATCTTTCACCCTAAAGAGTAATGTAACTACTTCTACCTCTCAGGGAAATTGTGGGTGTGAACTTTGACCTGTGACCTTACCTGTTTCCTTGGCACCAATTGTTGCTTCCATTCCCGTAGTTCGTTGGCATACTGATCATCTAGTTCTTTTATCTTCTGTGTTTCCTGCTCCATTAGCATCTTCCTCTTCTCTGCCTGTATTCACAAAACAGAAATTTATACTTATATTCAAATGTTGAAGTTCTTGTGTTTTTTCTCCCTTACTCATAACTGCTCTAGCTCCAAGAAAGAGTTCTCAGCAGAGACTTTCTCTCCCTTAATTGAAATTGCTCAAGTTCTCAGAGATAGATCTCAATATGGAATTCCTTCCCCTTAACTGTAACTGCTCAAACTCTCTAAGACTTTTTCTCCCTTACCTGTAGCTGCTCAAGCTCTCTTGCATTGGTCTTGTCCATTTTCTCCCTTACCTGTAACTGTTCAAGCTCATATACACTGGTCACATTGTCAATTTTCTCTTACCTGTTTCTCTTACATAGACTTGTCTCCTTGTCAATTTTCTAGCTTACCTGTAACTGCTCAATTAAGCTCTCTGAGACTTGTCTCATTGATTTTTTCTCCCTAATCTGTAACTGCTCGAGCTCTCTTAGACTGGTCTTGTTATCAGTTTTCTCCCTTACCTGTAACTGCTTGAGCTCACGGAGACTGTCTTGTTTTCTCCCTTACCTGTAACTGCTCCATCTCTCGTAGACTTGTCTTGTTGTTAATTACCTCCATTACGTGTAACTGCTCGAGCTCTCTGAGACTGGCCTCGTTGTTAATAATCTCCATTACCTGTAACTGCTCGAGCTCTCGTAGACTGGTCTCATTGTTAATTATCTCCCTTAGGCCAGGTAAAATTTCTCTTTAGATTCTCATCCTAATTTGCTAAAAAATTGTCTTGTTGTTAATTTAATTTATATATAGGCCTGTAACTGCAATCGAGCTCTCTACACATTTTTTTTTTCATTACCTTAATGCAAATATGAATAGATTTAATTCTTTTCATATTCTTTTAACTGCTTAAAGAAAATCTCAAATTAAATATTTATTGTTAATTAGTTATCAAGTACACGTTATACGGCACACCCTGAACAAAATGAGGTAACTGCTTGAACTTTCGCAAAATCTATATAAATGTTCTTAATCAGTTTTCTCCATTACCTGTAGATTTTGTTTATTTCAAAGCAAAGTCGCACAGCTCTCGTTATATATAACTTGACCAGGTGTCATTTTACTCGTTATTTTTACTCCCTTACCTGTAACTGCTCCTCTCAGTGATGGTACTTGTGTTGTTGTTCTCTAATTACCTCACATTTTAACTTCTTTTATTGCCTATTTTTCTGCTCTTCACATGCTCTTTGCTATTAATAGCGACACGGTTTTAATCGTTGTTAATAATTCTCCATTACCTGTAACTGCTCGGGCTCATTTAGAGGGGCGGGCGGGGATGAGAATCTAAAGATTAATTTTATATGGCCTTACCTGTAACTTTCCAGCTCTTGTAGACTGGTCTCATTGTTTTCTCCCTTACCTGTAACTGCTCGATCTCTCATAGACTTATTCTCCCTTACCTGTAACTGCTCGAGCTCTCGTAGACTGGTCTCGTTGCGGAAGACAAGCTCCTCCCACTGTTTCTTGTGTTTCTGCTCTTGTCGCTGCTGTTCAGCCTTCATCCTCTTCTTCTCATTTTCCTCAAACTGAAAAACATCAAGTACAGGCTTTATCTATATAATTCACTGGGATTTTTAAAACTATTCGAGAAATCACAAAAATCATCCATTTCCTTCATATTAAAATTTTTTTGCTGTCCCCACTCATAAATATATAAATACAGAGATGCAATATAGGCTTAATGTATATACATAATAAATTTTAAAATTCCTGAAAAATATATATTGAATGCAAAATTTGTAACATAGTATCCAGTGAGAATGTGTATGCATAAGTGAACATAATTTTTACTTATTTCATGCATATCAACATAACTTCATTTACATGTATTATGAAAAGAAATTAACCTATATCATAATATGAATTAATTATGACTGAAAAAAATAATAATCATTATTATTAATAAAACCAAATGCTTCCTCCTTGTTTTAATAAAACTGTTATCCAATCAAAACAAACATGAAAACAAAAACATTTTTATGATGTCTGGAGAGTTAGCCAATCCTATGAGAGAAAAAAATGAATTCCTTTGATCTCTTTATGGTTTCTACCACCAACAAAATTATCATCCACGATCCTATGGGATTGTCTATTTGTCTTAATTCTCTGTTTGGGAAAATGTGTGTCAATGACATTGTTATAAAGCGATCAGAAAGTGCATGCAGCTTAAGATTTTTTTTTTCTGGATATTGTACGCAGAATAACAAAGGAAAGTTAGTTGCTAGTCCATGTATTAAGGCAGGCAGAAGTTGGGTACGGATGGGTATGAAATGAGGTACGTAATTTTCACGTAATGTGCTCAAGACCTGATGATGTTTACCTGTCGTTTAAGTTCGAATGGCTTCTGCAAACAATTAAGGACACATGCAATGACAAGTGAGACACATGCTCAAAAAACATCAAACAAACAAAATAGCTCAAATTAAAAAGAACTTCAGCAAAATGCAACATCTGTAATAACAGAAAGCAGGGTGGGGAAAAATTTTATCCTTGATGTTCATCAAGATATAATTAAATATAAATCAAGATATTACTAAATATAAATAAAAGCATATCTTTGGTTAATCAAAATGTATCTATTCACTGCTTCAGCCAATTTAAAGCATGTCAGTATGTTATCTCTAATGTTCTGGCAAATACACAAATAATACTGTAACAGTCAATGGTGATTTTCTTAAGCATGATGAATACACATATATGTCACATTATTAGCTGTTAATTATTAAAATTATACACTAGCACAAGCCAATTTTTTTTAAAAATTCCTTTTATTTCTGTTCCATGTGAAATACATTAAAAAACTTAACCCCCCCCCCCTCAAAAATCAAACAAACAAACTGCACGTCATTACAATCTTTCCAAAATAAAAAAAGCTTGCCTACAAACAAGTGTACATAATAAGCACCAAACACTTCAGTGACCAAAAACAGAGGTCACAGACACCCACACAACATTTCCTTCTTGTCCCTCCTCACCTGTTTTATTTTGGCGCGATCGTCCTCGGGCGAGCCCACAGTGCTCAGCCTGAGACTCTGTTTGAACATCTGAGCCCGAGTTTTGGCCTCGCTCCTCTGTATTTTGGGGAGCCGTCGCTTTTCTAAGGCATGCCTCTTCTGCATCTCGTCTTCTTTGACAGAGTTGCTTCTCTTCATTTGTTCAACTTCCTGCATGGTGAAAAATTAATCAGTTATAAACATTACACCTAATAAATAATGTTGATCTTTTTTCATGCCTCTTATTTGAAATATCGTTTAATGTTCTCTTTATCTTTTTCTACCATAATTGTTCTGCATTTATTAAAATCATAAATAAATCATCATCATCATCATTACAACACAAAAAAATTTGTCTTTACACCAATTATTTTTTTAATGACATTTCTACTTATTTTCACTTATCACATGTGAAAAATCTATAGAACGAAAAAACATACACATAGAAAATCACAACCAACTATTCACATTTAGTACTATAACCACTTTACATTAATTTTCCACCAAAAAAAAATAAAAAGATAATGTCTCAGTCACAGTACAACACAGATTATACGAGTTACACTGTGACCCTGTCCTGTCTTGAACTCTGACCTTTTGGTGCCGGGTCAACATCTGATGTCGTTTTAGGAAGAAGAGGTCTTTAAGCTGACTCTTAGACAGCTGGTGTTTCTCATGTAACTGTTGTTTTTCTAACTCCCATATTGCAGCTTCCCTACCTACAAGACACAAACAGATTACTTCATAAAGAACAGGTTTATAGTACTCAATTTAAGGCACCTCATTTAGAATATCAAAGATGAACGGTCAACATTTTACTTCATGACTTCAATTTTTGGCCATGCACAGTTAACATTAATTCAATTCTGTTAATAAAACATAATTTCCTCTATATCTTCAATTATACCATTCTGTTAGTCTTATGGCTACACAATATTAATTGTGATATGAAATTACAGAAACAATTAAAGCTTACTCCACTTATATTGAAATCGCTTATTTTGAAATTCCGCTTATTTTGAAATAAAAATAAATCCCTAGTTTTAGCCTCTCATATTCTTTGCATTAAAATAACAGTTATATTGAAATAGGCTATATTGAAATATCGCTTATATTGAAGCCACTGAGGTGATAATGAGTTGTTTTCATACCGGTTATACTGAAGTACTCCCTGGCGGCAGTCTTTACCGTTGGTGACAGTAATTATGCCTGACTGGCCGAATGATATACAAAGGTGTGAATTAATATACTGTTAGGTTTCACCTTGCGTCTTTTTACATTGCTTTTACAAAATAAAATTATTCACTGTTTAAATTAATTCTTTGTTTTTACGCATACGGACATATTTAAATAAAAAATTTTAATAAAGGAACCCCACAGAAAAAAACCCGAACTATGAGACTTAATAGGAACTAGTTATGGCTATTGATAACTCTAAATTCATAAAGCTAAGAATATTCTGGATTAACTCGAGTAAACTTACGATAATATACAAGCAGTGTTCAGCAGTATATTGAATGATTTAAGTCTCTTTGATTTATTATAAAATGCAAAAGAATGTGATGTCATGTTTTTAAAATGATGTTGAAGATTGTCTTTTCAATGCAACAAAAAGAAATAATGTTATGTAAAAGACTAAAATTCCATGTAATCTTGTCATTGTTTTTGATAAACGATGACCGAATTAATTTGTACGGGTTCTTTATTTAATTAGGTTGAACTTTGAAAAAGGGTAGATTTCACATTTTATTTCAATTAAAAAATTTTAATTATATGCAGTAAACCGATATATTGAAATAATTTGCCATGGTCCCCTGAATTTCAATATATCCACTGGATTCTACTGAGAGCAAAGAAACACTTGGAAAATGCTAAAAATTGCATTGCTGTAGACCAGTACAATAATTTTAAAAAATTTTTTCAGCATATTTCTCTTCATAACACCGTCTACATGTGTGTTTTTGCATGGCTTTACAATTTTGTGGTCTTTACTGAATAGGATGCACTGCTTTCTTTGTTACTGATATTTAACCCTGCCCAGAGCTTTACCCCTCAGTAGTTGCTGCTTCTGCTGTAGGAACTGACTCTCCAGTAGAGCTACCTTCTGTCTGTGTACCTCTGCTAACTGTTTCATGTGCTTCTCCTGTCTCTCTGCTTGGTTCTCCAAAAACACACGCTCCTAAAAATCAAAATTCAATTCCATTAAAACTTTTTATATAGAAAAACATTAAAACTAAAAAACTTACTGACTTTAATGTGGGAAAAAATTGTTTAAAAGCTTGCATGGGATGCAGAATCTAGCATCTGCCATGTGAAATATACATTGAATCACACATAAAATCAGTTAAAACAACCTCAGTTTTTCTTTATTATTAAGTATCAAAAAAATTCATTCAATGCTAAAAAATTTTTCCCTTTTTTAATTTAACAATCATCATTTAAAGATGGAGTACACACAAAACAATTAAAAATTCTTCTCTTGTGTAATGTATAAATTAATTCTGCTGAATTTAGAGAATTCTTGTGTGATATATAAAAATATTATTGGGTACATAAACCACACAAATATAGATGTTTCATATAAATCCAGAGATTGTATAAACTCTGACAAGTCTTGCTGATTATGTATCTTATCTGCCAGCTGGCAAGGACAGAATAACAAATAATGGTATATGTTTGTTTGGCTGGTAAGTAATTTACACACTTGGCAGGGATGTGGTGCTAGAACCTTGGTGTGACATCACTCCCTTAAATCTGATCAATACTATAGGCCTCTTACAAAATACAGGAGTCGATGTATTAATTCTTTCTACTTAAGCCCTTTCTCCTCTCAAATAACAGGTCTCATCAATTTAGAAAATTAAAAATAAAGAAATTTTTTCTCTTGTTTAGCTGTATTTCATTCCTGTTCATTGTTTCATAAAAAGCTGAAAAATGGATCATCTTCACATTTCAAACTTCGCACATACTTAGGCAATATAGTTGACAGATTCAGCGTTCTAAGAAATCTGTAAATGACTAATCAATAAGATCAACTCTGCCAAATTAGACTTCTCACTGCCAACCACCAAGGCTAATAGCCTAATAAGTACTCGTACTCTACCATATAACTCAGACCTTATGATGCTTTAAAGCCGGACATTTTGAGCCATTCTAATGTCAGCATCCAAATATATTCTCCAATAATTACATTCCAAATTAAATAGGAACATCATCCCTCTTATTAATTAAGGGACAACTCTATTTCATGTTTGATTCATTGAACTTACTAGAAGCTGACCCATCAAAAATGAGAACTTCACACTTCTTCATATTCATTAATTGTTGAAGTTTAAAACATAAATATTTGTTGGGAATATAATAATTTATTTGAGATAACTTGATCTATGGGAATTGATTGTAACCTTTTCTTGAAGCTCTATTTCTTTTTGGTCCTTGCGTTTCTTCATGGCATCCTTCCTATTGTCTTTTGGCATGAGATCTAGTTCTTGTCTCAAAAGTTTTAGTTCTTGTTTCTGTTGCTCTTTGAACAATTTGTATTCTTTTTCCTACAAAAAAATCAGGTAAATATTTATATTAACATTTATAACAAAAGAATATAAATATAGATGTATACACAAACTGTTCCACATACAAAGGCAAATCTAGGCCGATAGAAAAATGGAATATACAGCTTATCTATGAAAATAAAGGATGTTATCTCTTTACAAGAATTGAAATGACCAGGAGCAAAAAGAAAGATCTTTTAAATTTTACATTTATCTATAAAAATTTAGAAAATATTTCAAAAAGAAATTGAATGACAGTAACTGCACATTTTTTGTGACCAAAAAAAACCTGCATGCAAAACATGAGTTTATAGTCAACCTTGCATGATCAAGTTATTCAACAATTTCCAATATCAATTTCAAGCACACTGTTCAACATCATATTAATGTACTGGTTAGTGCTTATCAAACATATATTTAGTTTTCTATGCCTTACGCCCTGCATAATGTTTGATGTGAAATGAAAATGAATCAATGTCAATATCTAAGAAATTCTAACAGCTAGCTAGCTGATATAACGTATACAAACCTGGTCCATTTTAAGGCGCTTGGCTGCATTCTTCATGTCAGCTGCTTGGTTCTGTTCGGCCTTTTCTACCTGTTGTTTCTGAGTTTTATTAAGGGTTTCCATATCCTGATCATAATTCTTCACCAAAGTCTGCAAAGGAAACAACCCTTCCCAGTCAATGCACAAAAATCCTCATGCAATGCTATCTCATGAATTCCAATGAGTGACAATGAAAATGAAGAATATTTCCTAGCAAAATGCATCTTCAACCCAATAATTTTTCAAAAGAACTAAAATGAAGACTTTAAAGTGATTTGCCATACCAGCAATGTATTTAATGCATAATTTTACCTAAAAACCCAATTTTTCGCAAGATCCCTCATCAAATCAACAGCTTACAAGAATAACCCAAATGATGCAGATGTCAATATACAGATTTCAAGGTGCTTATAACAATATATTTTAATTTCATCTAACATTAACGTTACCGTACCTGCATATCGAGTTCGAATTTCCGTTCCTGATCCTCGCGAGCACATTGGGACTTGTACATGAGATCCTGGTATTGCTTGTTCTCCTGTTTCTGAAGCACCTTAAGTTCCCGCAAATCATTCTTCCTATTCAACAAAACAAAATGGATCGGCATTAGTCAATACTGCAAATGCAATACTTCCATGATATATCCTTACATGCAAGCAGGTGCTCTTCATTTTCCATCAGGTGACATTTTCCCGAGAGATTTCATCTGTTGTTTACTTCTATAAGAACCATAAAATTACTCGATCTTTGGATATTCATTGTTCTAAATATAATCACTCATTATGCAATATCTTTAAGACTCTCAAAAGAGGTATATCTTCAAAAGTTCCAGCAAAACAATGGTCTTATCCTGTTATAAATTTTAGATTTACAAGGGGGAGGTAAATGCAAAATTGACAACATGATAACTATTATCATGTTGTAGATTTCGCATTTACCTCCCCCTAGTAAATTCAAAATTTACACATGGTGGTTATCAAAATCTGTAGAGGTTCCAATAAGCCAATCATTATACATGTATATAAATTATCATTTGTATAATCATACCTTCTATTACACCTGTTTTTCTGAGAAGTGATGCTTCCATGAATCTTAGATAGACACAACTTGCACAATAATTCATTTTTGGGTTTAAGAACAGACAACAAATCTTCATACATATTTCTCAAAAAATATCATTCACAACATAGACAAAGAAACAGCTGAGGGGGGAATAAATCTTTTATATCTGGACTTATTTCTATATATAACTGATCAGACTGCATGTCAACAAGTTAATTTATTCATCAATAAATGTCAACACTAGCAAAAATGTCTATAAAACCCCTTTACATCCGTCCTTGGGTGCCCTACATTTTTTATCAGATTATAGATCTGGGATTAATTATCAGGGGATTAACCACAAACTGGGCAGATAATGGGGAGCCACCAATCAGATACTAATCTAGCCCTGCAACTGTAAAACACTAACAGATAGAACCACAGGATGCACTCTCCAACAATTAATAGCTGGCTAATTAATGCATAACACCTCTACAAATCAACAAAGATCATCAACGACAAATCTGTCCTTCCAGGCAAATATCTCCACACTTCACTGGGAACATATGACACAACCTAAAGAGCCTACAGCATGGGCAACTGGAAAATACCACTGCATGTAGATAAAGTGTAAGAAAGAAAAGATAATATTTAAATACATTTTTTTTGGTCTTCTTCACAATTTAAATTTTGGAAATTCAATTACTATGCTTTAATGCTTTGAGACAATTAACAATATTTCATGCAAATCTGGAAATGTTGGAGTTTTGATTATATGCTCAGACTACTCATTTCTTTAACAATCACTCAATTAACTCTTTCAACACTGAGTAACTTTTATCAAGCAACCCCCAGTACACTGAGTAACTTAAGCCTTCATTAGAAAATTCATCTACCGTCAGAAAAAATACAATAACTTCTTTATTAATTAAAATATTTTAATAAAAGACATATCATTATGAAATTTGTATGGATTTAAGATTATTTAACAAGACAAAAGCGCCGATACAAAATAATATTTTGTATTTTAAATGATCTTATGTAATATTTTGATAAATTTGCTGCTATGAAGTTTCAAAAACTTTCTTTTTCTTTTACAATCACATATGTTCTTAATCGTTTAATAGAGAAATTATTCACCAAGATATGCAATATGTCATTATTCATTGAAAAAATAAAAAAAATAAATAAATAAAAACATGGTGTTCTTAATATTGAGAGATCCAAACATGGTCAATAAGTTTACTTTCACAACAATGTTTATTACGCATATCTTTAATGTATATGAACGTTTATAAAGATATTTTTCTTTTCAATGTTTACCGCCATTTTGCTAGTTTTCTTGTTTCTTTAAAAATTCGTCTATTTTTCGTTTTTTCCCCGTGATTTTTGCCATGTGGTCCGCCATTTTTGTTACAGGATGTTTATATCAATTTACCCATAATTCATAGCGAAGATTTTGCGCAGAGAATACTTTCTATTTCTAAGAATAAACATGTTACTTTCAGTTTTGTGTCTGAAACCTCCACAACGGTCTACCGTGTTGAAAGGAGAAATTTTATCAGACCGTTGTGGAGGTCTACAGTGTTGAAAGGGTTAAGGCATTATTTTCCTCCACAGCAGCACAAAGTGCCTTAAAAATATTAAATTGATCCAAGCAATAAGTTTATTTTCTTTAAGTAAAAGCATTTATTTTCTTTCTGGTGGAGGGATATCATAAAAAAAACATGGTTAATAGCAGAGAGGTCTTTGGCATCTAGCCTGAGCTTTGGTTCTTTCACACAGAATTTCAATAACGAAGCCTGGTTGATGAAGTAATTGACACCTTACGCTTTCGCCAAAAACTAATTAGCTGCACTTTATCAACTCCCTCCAATAAGTAATTAGCCAGCTCTATTTTTGAAAATTATTTTCAGGCTTTTTTTTTATTAAATGAGGAATTTGGGTGCTAAATTATTAACTTTATGGCACACAAAATTCTTCTATTTTTTTTTTTAAATAAAAATTTTCTTTGTAAATGCTGACTCATTTCAAGAAAATGTAAACAATACTCAATTTCTGTCAATTTCAATTCTCTTCAAAGACAGAGTTTATTAAACTGGGTACAAAAAGCATCATCAGTCTTAAATTCTTGCTTAATGAAAAGTGTCTGGCATATTTTTGATATAAGATACCCCATCAATCAACACAATCCTAGTACATTAATTACTCATATTTCAGTCCTCTTTGTCATCATTTATTAATTACAATGATGTTACAATTGTTAATTCACAAAAATGAATTAATTGCTACCTTTGAGAGGCAATTGCAGCACAAAAAAAAAATTTACAAGATACTGCATGCCAATACCAGTAAATACTGCATACCCAGTGAATACTTAATTTTAATTATCTCAAAATTACAACAACCATGAACATGATGAAAATTATAATCACACTATGACAATCACTTTATGACAAAACCTTGGCTTGCGAGAAACAATAACCTCATGAAATTGTCTTTGCAACAAAATAAGCTATCTCTTATATAGCATCCATAAAGTTTTTCTGTCTTAATTAAGGCTCATTTCAAGACAAAATGACCAATGTCTTCATTCATTTATTGTATCTTTGTCACATTTCCTTTCCAGGTTCTAGCCTGCTGTTCTAATGACAGGATTTTTGTACAGAATCAATTCAATTTACTGCTCAGCTGCATTTCTAATTGTCACATTGACAAGGAAAACAACACCACAAATTTTTTCTCGACTTTCAGTAATTAATTTTTAAAGATTTTTTTTGAATTTTCATTACATAAAATACCTTGATCAAGGTATTTTATACATATTACATCCTTTTCACTAGATAAAGCTATATAACTTTTTTTTCCATCAAGCTATATACCATAAAGTTCAATTTTGATAATGCAATAAACAAACTCCTACACTTCCCTTGTGGATACCAGCATATAAATTTCCTTGGGGTCATGAATCATTATGTCACAAATAAAAACACAGATTGTACATTTCTGGAATTTACAGATCCAGGATATGTGTTGTAGTTTTCAATGATGTCTGGGTAAACAACAAAAGACATCAAAACATGTTTGTTTCCTGACTGGAATACAGATTCCTCAACAACATTTGTTCATATTAAAAATAAAGGATGTTTGAAAATCCTATAAAGGAAAACAAAGCTTTTACTTTCCATCAACCTAATGTTTTTTTTATATTAATTGAGCTGAAAACACTCATTTACTGAGTCAAGGATGGACCTTTTTTCATAAAAACTAAATTCAACTTAATAACCTAAATGAATAGAGAAATATCTTATATCAGAATCCATCTGATGGACCTAGATGAACCACTAATTCATACAAAAGAATATGGTATTCATTTAGTTGATTTTAAGGATTAATTTCATCTATCGACGTCTTTCTATTCATTAGTCATCTTTTGTATGTCTCACTTGTAAGTCTCGAGTCTATATATTCCTGCATTGTAATCCAAGCTTTTCTGTTGATGAAGGGGAGGGGGGCAGTTTCTTGAGATAAACTAGAAAAGATCTAAGGGTTAAAAATGCTTTACACTCTGTGAGATAATATGTACCCATCCTTATACATTGTACATGTCACTTTACCCCTCAGCAAAATATGGTCAGAAAAAGCATGACTATCACAGTTCAACTGTCCTACGACGGGTATACACAAATAAAATAAGTAAAAGGAGACACTCATAGTGGTCTCAGAAACTTAAAGGGTGGAAAAAAATATAGTAATGCAATACAGTTTATTAACTGCATTTTGACTACCCCTAAAAAGTTATGCAGCTTTTCAAAAACAGTAAGTTTTTTTTTCTTCATCATAAGGGGTGCAAGAAATAATCCTGAGTGTTTAATGAACATTTAACCTACCTGGTCATGTACATGTGACAGTAAGCATCCAGAATAAAAGTCACTTTGGGTGACACATTTTTCTTTTCAGGTGAATCAGGATTCTCCTGAGAAGACTTGAATTTCTGCACTGCCAATGCATTTTCCAAGTATGAAATGACTTTTGTAACCTCATCCTCGGACACTGCAAACGTGTAAAACTGGTCATGGTCTGGATTGTCCTTCCAAAGCTCAGCGCCCACCAGGATGGGGATCTGGCGGAGGGTGTTATCCTTCACAATAGAGGAGGTGGTGCCAGAACTCAGCCCACTACAGCCCGAGTCTGAGGAAGTTGAGACAGAATTTCTTCGCAAAGCTTGAAGACTTCGGTGATGAAATACTAAGTTCCCACCATCTGAATTTTCACATGTACTCACACTTGCATTAGAACATGCTGACGAAGCACTTTCACCTAATTTTGGCCCCTCGTATAATGCCTCTAGATTCACTCTTGGAGTTTTGCCTCTTGAAACTTCTGACACTGTATTGTAGTGCATGAAAGAGGGTTTCTTTTTCTCTTGTCTTCTGGCCATTTTCTGCCATGGTAAGCTGTTTCCTCCCTGTAGACTCTCACAATCTGAGGGACAACTGTGCAAGTCCACATTGTAGTGGGGCCGGTTCAAAAACCT